CTAGGACTATCGTTTCGCTTAACCTGAGCGATCGATTGTTTCTCTCCTAGATGTTCCCCTCTAGGGATACATCTTTGTCCCAGTCCACCCGACTTATTCGAGTGGTGGACCTTCGGCGCAGCCTGTGTTTCCTCACAGCCGCCGGAACTTTGCTCCGAAGTGTAACCGTTTGGTACACTAAGGTTTTGTGCAGTCGTACTAACGACCGTACCACAAGTGAGGCCATCGCACTCACTCGTAGTACATCCACACGCTTGTGGACGCTCCAAAACGTTCATCAGATGGCCATCTGATGAACAAGCGGCAGGAATCGTTACTGTCCGATGTTGCCAGTTTACCCGTGGTTCGTACCTTCTGAGCCACGGTATTCCAAGGATGACATCAAATTTGTCATCCAAATCCAATACGATAAAGTCATCGTCGTATTGGGTATCTTCTAGCGTATAGTGAATCTTCACTATACGCTTCATGACGGTTACGGATGCGCCTGTCGCAAGACGTACCGTCATCCTCGTAGGAGGTGTGTCACATTCACTGAATTTAAAGTGACCATCTTCTAGCGATTGGCGTCGCACAAAATTGTTGGACGCCCCACAATCGACTAGAGCTCGAAGGGACAACTTATTCGTCACTTCGAGTTTCAAGGTAATGAGTGAGATCTCATTACCTAGAGCAGCAACGCACAATGTCTGTGTGTTGGGAGCAACCTTCATCAAGAGGCCTACAAATTCTCTTGACGTTGCTGGATCAGTAGGGTGCTCCGCACCTACTGATCCTGTCCGTTTTTTGACGGTCCATCCCGTTGTTGCGTCTTTGCACCAACTGCGGACCCTCGTCCCTGCCCCTTTCTCATGGGTGGACGGTCACTACGCCCAGTGTCGCGAGACACTGGACGAGGGGCACTACACTCGTAAGCGTAGTGTCCTGTCTTTTGACATCTGTTGCATCTCTGCAACTTCTTGTAGCCTGTAGAGCGAGCCTTCTCGCTCTCTACATAACAGAGTTCCATCGGCTCTGGACCTCCGTTGTCATATCGTCTCGGTTGACGATATGATGTCGAGCTGGCGCGAGCCTGTCTCAGACTGAAGTCTTCCTGCTCCGCAATTGAAATGGCTTGTTCTAGTGAATCTAGTTCAAGCCGGAACAGGTGAGTCTTGACGGGACCATCCGCAAGACCCTGCATGAACACCGAAACCAACGTGTGTTCATCCACCGGATTGGAACTTATACAACTCGTGAGATGTCGTATATGTTGAGCGTAAGCGTGCACATCACGCTTACCCTGTTTGAGCTTCAAGAGTTCGGTTCGAGCTCTGAACTCAGCTCTAGGCGGTTCAAACGTTTGTCTGAGCCGCGACTTGAAGACTTCCAACGACCCAAACGCGTATGGGTCGTGCAGCTTGAGCCCCAGTGCCCAAGTCTTGGCACGTCCTGCCAGATTTGACTGGGCAAATGCAACTTGCATATCCCCGTCGTCGATGCGACGCGCCCTTATGGCGTCATCCAATTCGACGAACCATCTCAAGAGGGAGTCTTCTTCGACCCCCTATACTTTGAGATGTCAATCTTCAAAGTCTCGGGTCGACGCGAGTGCATCGACCCGCCAGCAGCAGCTTGCTGCTGTCTCAACAGTTCAAACTGTTGAGCACCTTGTTCTCTCAACAACTCTGCTTGTTGAGAACCTTGTTGGTGAAGCAAGGCTACTTTCTCGCGTTCAGCGTCAAGTTCATTTTGAATGAACTTGGCGATAGTAGCATGTTGGGCATCTCTATTGAGAGCCTCTAGCATGACGCTAACAGCATGGATGCCCATGGTCGAACCCATTCGTTCAACCGCATCCCATTCGACATCGCTCAAATGGGAGTAGCCGTCACGCGTAGCGTGAAAGCTTTGGTCATCTTCATCATCCAACATATTCATGTTGGATGTGAACGCGGTCCTTGGACGGACTACGAAGTGCTACCAGGTGTAACGGGGCACCCTGAAGCTTGTACTGGTGACAGTACAAGCTACTTATTCTGATAACAGAATAAGGCGGTGCCTCGTAACTTCACGTACACTCGTACGTGCAGAGGAAGACGGTAAGAAGAAGCGAGTACTTGGTTAGAGTAAAAGTAGAACTGTATTTATAATAGTTAATGTCTGCAATAAATCACTATTTATCTTCATCTAACTATGTCTAAATACAAATGTGTAAATCAGTTATCTGCTCACCACTCATTGCGTGCGTCTGTCGTGGCGCGTCTTCGTTGGTTGATATAATGGCCTATATCAACCAATTAGGAACTACTTGGAAGTGCTACAGAATATTGTCCTTATGACAATATTCTGAGAATATAACTCTTATAGTTATATTCTATTAACAATTTCTTATAAATTGTTATGTAACGATTCACCCCGTTACACTCGGGGTAATTTCGTGATTTTCGAGCTTCGTGTGGCCCATAGCTTTGACCTTGAGACGATCTACAGGCCAGAAGAAGTCACCGTTATTCTCAAAAGCTTCGCTGCGCGCGCGAGGAGGGTCGAGCCACCAGTACTGGTCAGCGGTATGTTGCAGACTGTGTTAGGGTCATCTTTCATAGTACGAAGCTCATGAATCTCGCGATGAAGGTAGTGTTTGCAAGACAAGCCGTACTTTGATGTGAAGCGTCCTGTACATTCCCCAGAGTTGTCGTAATCATTCGAGAAGAAGCTGCTTCATTAACATCCTCAGTGCTGCATGAGAGTCTATGTGCTCAAGTATATCGAACTCAGCATTCACAACGTTGGTAGGAACCCTCCCAGAATGTGCGGCAACACCAGCTATAAACTTATTTTGCTGAATTCTCATCATGTTGTGGGTGTCGCGCACAACATGGTAAAGGTGGACTTTGGAGCTGAGGTAAAGCCAGATCTTCACGCCATGATGAGCAGACTCTGCACAAGAAGTTAATCTGATCATAAAGTCAGGAAAATATCTGCAGAAGTACTCCACCCACTCCTCAAAACAGCTCAGTAGCACGTTCTCAATGTATAGCATCAGCTTTTGGCATGCTACATAGTCCTTTACCACGGTCTTCCAGCACTTCCAGAACAGATCGTCCATGTACTGGGAGACTAGACCATGCCAACGTGACATAAACTTATTCCGAGCATCCTCAATCTTAGCCTTATGGACACTAGTTGACCCATCCTTAACATTCCAAGAAGTCTGAACGGCCTTCTTAAGGACGTTCTGGTTTAAGTGCCAAATGCAACGCCGCTGTGAAATGCCCGGGGAAAATCCTGTTATGGTTAATTTTAGGGCATTATCATGCTCTTCAACAAAGACTTGTGGAAAGACACTGAGCCCTCCAAGAAATCCCGCATTGCGCACATATGCCAGCCGTAGTGGAAGTAGTCGTCTCCATTCATGAAACCGTATGAAATTTCAAAGACTTTCTTGCGACATGTCTCACCGACGACGTGCAATAGCGGCACATTGAGCTTGTTCACCTTGTATGTCGCATCAATCTGGATGACGTCTGGGTTCTGTATTAGCAGCTGGAAGCTGTCCGGGTATATGAAGAACTGGTTTTGAACGCAATTTTGAGTGTCAAAGTCCACTCTGTACCAGTACTTTGTCGTAGACCGTCTTCTTCATCTTGCTCGAATTTGTCCAGGAAGTCCAGGAGTGCTTCAACAGATGTGCTTTCCGCAAGATCGTTTCGCCGAAGCTTTTGAATCTCATTGTGAGCATCTCTGAATTTGATGTTGACATCAGCGGCGAGGAGGTCATCAAGAATCTTCCTGGAATTATCGTGCTGCTTCCGCTGTTGCTCGATTCGAGCTTGAGTGTAATCACCGCGCTTGCGGTTCTGCGCAAAGGTAAGCCTGCCATTTGAAGCACGCTTGCGGTTGTGGTATAGTACAATGGCTTCGAATCTCCACCCATATCTGCTGTAGAATCATATTTTGCTCGAATACAGCAGGCCTTCCATTCGCATCCAGTCATCTTGGATGAACTCCGGTGCTTGCCTTTGCTAATGGCGACGTATTTACGGCCACAAGCACACCGCAGGCTGAAGGAAGTAGCAATGCCTGTTCCTTGGTTCTTCTTCGAAGGCTTGGTGCGATTAATGCTCCTGATAGAACACTCAAAACCAATCTATGAGAATGCGGAATTGAGGGCATCTTTACTTCATTGTGGTCAATGGAATGAAACTTGGTGGAGAGGGGTTGTTCCGAGGTATCAGCAACTTAAAGGAGACTTAGGATCGAATTCGGACGACATGGCTTCCAGAGGCAACAAATTGTGCCGCGTCTGGCGTGACAGAATATGTTGGAGGGTAAGGTCATCGTCAGTGCTATCGTGCATGGCGGGATAGTCTCTATCGTCTAACTGAGTTGTCGGGGCGTGCTCTTAGATACGCTTTGTAATACAATACATTTTGTCGAGATTGTACACCGTTAGAATTGCCGCAGTCGGTTCTACAATCGGAAATACTATGTAATATTAGACGTGGAGATTAGTGATAGCAGTGAGTCGCAAAGATGACAACTTTGGAGTTTGCGATTTCGCAGGGAGCTTCTGCTAGAGCCTGGACTTGGCTCATGGATTCGAACACCAATCAACCATGCAACAGGAGGTAAACGTACATCGTGGCGAACGCGGGATCTATCGCGGGTGTGCTCTTTCCGGAGGGGAATTTACCAATATAACCTTATGAATAGTGGGTCATTTGACGTTTTAACAACATGATTTTTGAGCAGCTGCTTTGTCTAACCTCCCAGCCGTTTAGCATTTGTCTATAAAAACTGGCCAATCACATAGCGCACAGTCACGAATTGCTTCATTTTCGGCCTCGCACTTATGACAGTGTGCAGCCACGTATGAACGAACAAACAGTAGTGCACTTACAGGTCAGTGTTGACCGCAACGAAATGCATCAAGCTGGCACTTGAGTTTATGTGCTTCTTGTTACGACATGCAACCGCCACGACCACCGCCTACTTCCGATACGATCCGTCACGAGGCCTTAAAGCTTATTCTTGTAAAAGACAATCTTGCCATCGTCCTCGACAAACTTGCAGTGTTTGTATGACCTCCACATCGCCAACGGGAAAGGTGTCGTATCTACCAGATGGAACTTGCCCAGCACAGGCTTTATGGCCTTCGCGGCCTCCTCGCAATGATAGAACGGTATCTTGGAGAAGATGTGATGGACCACGTGCGTGTCCACAATATGGTGAAGCATCGAGTCCAAATACGGGCCAAACGAGCGATCGACAGTGCACAAGGCACCGCGCAGCCAGGTCCACTCGCCCTCGCGAAAGTGCGGGACGTACGTGTCCGTGTGCTGCAGGAACGTGATGAGCACGAGGTAGAAATTCACGACTATGTAGGGCGCAAAGTAGAGCTTGGCCATCGTGTCAAGCGACAACGTGTGTACGAGCCCAGCAAGTCCAGCGAGCACGAGCACGAGGGAGACGTCGCTGAGCACGATCAACCACCGCTCGCGGTCAGCGTAGATCATCGAGTACGGGTTAAAGTGGCTACGCGCCTTGCCCCAGTATTTGCTCGGTCCCGTTGCATTGAAACAGAGGTACCCCGGCATCCACCCCACCGCGAGCATGAACGCGACGCGGTAGAGCTGGTACAGCGGCGAATCTTCCAGCACTTCGTTCCACGAGCTCTCGATGACCGAGCGCGTCACGGGGACAAACACCTCGTCATTCTCGCAGCTGCCAGTATTGGCGTGGTGTTTGCGGTGCGAAATGCGCCAGCTGTGGTACGGCACGAGCAGCGCCGAGTGGAGCACGAGTCCAACCAAGTTGTTGACGGTTTCATTCGAGCAAAATGATTGGTGGCCGCAGTCGTGGGCAATCACCCAAACCCCCGTGAGGTAAGTGCCTTGAAGGAACCAATAGACGGGCCAGAGCAGGTACGCAATGGCTCCAAGGTCGTCCAAGCGAGTGGCTACGTACAAGAGCGCGCCGCACGTGAGCAAGTTCTTCGCCAAGTGGTACATGGACGTCGTGAACGAGCGCTCGAAACAGTGGTCGGGCGTCGCGGCCCGAAGTTCCCGCAGCGAAAAGTGCGGCAGCTCTAATGGCGGCGGGGCGGGACAGCCCTCGACGTGCTTGTAGCCCGCTTCCGCGAGTTGGCGCTGCTTGGCTTCACTGTCTGCTACTTGTTTGGTAGGAGACTCTGAGTCCGGGTTGAGAATCGCCATCGTGGGAGCTGAGGAGCGACGACACTAGCGAGAGAGATGAAGAGAGGGAGAGAGGGAGGGAGGGGCTGAAGGCCGTGCGGATCGGCTGTTGATGGCGAAAGTGCAAATGCGGGAGGACCGGAAGGTGGTCAAAAGCCACCCACCCGTCAGCTGAAGAAAGCGAGAGGCTTCGGCTCGTGTTGAGCGACCGGGCGACCAGTAGGTTGTAAGGCCACGCTGGAAAAGATTCGCAGGGCGCACGTCAGGTAGAGCGCCTTATGATGTCATGCGATGGTCGGTTCGCCCAATCACGGAAAGCTGTTTGTTTTTTCGGATAAAAAAATATCCAAAGTTTGTTGATGAGATGCTGCTTAGATTTAGACGGTCGCAATCATTGTGGCGGATCTACCGATGCCGCCGCCAATGCTAACCGCTATACGAGTGCTTGGAACACTTCTAAATTTACGGTCTCTAGTTCTAAAGTGACGCGATCAAAGTGCTCGTGCTTCAAAACAAAAACCTCACGTTTCAAAAATACGTGCTCAAATTTTTTCAAGCGCAAGAAAACAACAACTTTCACTTTCGATGCCAGCGTTTGTGCGCGTATCAGATTGTCATGCCGAGGATGGACGGTCCACGATTTCGGACCGGTCAGATGAACCGCTCGATTCGTACTTTGTCGGACGCTCAGCGCGGCGACCACCCAATGGACGAGCGGATGCGTGCATGCCGAGCGAGCACTTAGTTCGGTTCTTTAAGTCTTTTCGGAAGCAATATCATCCCCATGTCTTCTACAGGAATCGCCGTGGGCCTGAACAAGGGGTACCCTGTCAACAAGAAGCCAGTGGCTCCTCGCCCTGCTTCTCGTAAGGGAGTAAGTGTCACTTTGTGCTTAGTTTTCTGCTTTTTTCTACTCCATGTGAAGCGACTGGTGTTCTCCAGCTAAGCAACAACATGGCTACAAAACGTCAGCAGTCGGACGATTGTATTTGTCTCGCACTGAGCTGTTGATGCAATCGCAATGTATGTGCTAACGAAAGTCCGTGCTCGATGTGATTGGTCCTTGTGTTACTTAGCGCGCCGGCAAGAAGACTAAACTCGTGCGTGAGATCGTGCGCGAGGTCGTCGGCCTCATGCCGTACGAGAAGCGCATCCTTGATATGATCAAGAGCGGCGGCTCGTCGGCTGAGAAGCGTATCTACAAGTTCTCGAAGAAGCGCGTACGTACACAAAAGCAGAGAAACCTCGACTGTCTATAGGTGGATGAACATGCAGCATCAGATTGCGTGATCTAGCAGCAGGAATAGAGAAACGAGATGGTGGTGATGGTGGTGGTGGTGCTAACACTTGTGCTCTGTGGTTGTTCCAATTGTATTATGGGCATCGTCTTACAGCTAGGCACGCACCGTCGCGCTTTGATGAAGCGCGAGGAGATGAAAGCGTACTACGCTGCTCTTCGCGCCAAGGCTGCCCACCACGCGTAGGACGACGACATGTTGACACAATTTCAGGATTGCGGAGACAAGGGGACCGACTTGTCAGGGAGCGCGGCGGACTTCCCGTTCTGAACGGTGACGTCATGTCATGGCCATTGCGAAACCGTTGAGCAAGAGCAGAGACGACGCCGCTGCTCGCTGGCTGTGACTGCTTCGTCTCCGACGCTTCATTATTCGAAAATAAAGGATTACCGATTACTGCTTCATGCCCGCGTTCGTTCCTCCCAGACGCGTCACCTTGTCCATGTCTTGGACGCAGTTGGCAACCCACTACCGTCCGTCCCTCCGTCCATCTCTCTCTCTCTGAATGGAACGACCTCCAGGTCAAAGCACTCACAAGCCTCGATCGGTAGAACACTGATCCTGACATGTGCACATCACACTTCAAGTCTCTACGACCGTCGAGGCGTATTCAATGCCTTCTGCAGTCCATCCACCCTTGCAGTCACAGCAGTCACAGCCAGACTCCAGAGCTGATTTCCGTCGGCAGTCCCCCATCTCCGCAACCAAACCAACCGACCAACCCACCAACCGACCAACCGACTTCTCGACCGGCGGACTTCTCGACCGAGAGACCGACAGACAGGCAGCAGAACTTGCTGGGAACGTCAAAATCGCGGCTGAAATGGCGGCGAACGCATGCGACCGGTTGCTGCAAGCAACGCGAAAGCCGTTATGCTTCCTAGCTGCCCCTTTGCGCTTGTTTCGCTCTCGCTCGTTCAGTCATAAATAGACAGGGAGCAGCACGACAAGTCTGTCGCCGCGCCTCGCGCCACCGCGGGAGGACGACGACGACGACGACGACGCGCGTCGCTCTGCCTCCCATTCCGTCTGTCGAGCGACTAACGCTTGGTGGCGGTTGCAGCTTGACCCGACCCACGCACGAGCCCAAGACGACGTCGACGAGTAACGCACGCGAGCAGACGACGAGGCGGACGTTCAAGTTCAGCAGCTCCAAACGCGATCAGAGACTCTCTTGGCTCGCTCCTGCTCCTGCTATGGAAACTCCAGCCAAGGAACACAAGCGCCAGACGCTGCTGCACTCACTGGCCGCCCTGGCCCGACGTCGGATGGGGAGCAATAGCAGCAACAGCACCAATAGCAGCAGAAATAGCAGCAGCGCCAGTGCCCGATCTCCAGTTGCAACGACTGGCGGTTTCGACGCCGACTTGCTCGGCTCTTCTGCTGCCGTGTCGTCGTCGCCGCTGCCGTGTTCGGCTCAGCATGACGAGACTGGAACACGAAAGGAGCAGTCGAGTGGACCGTATGTCCTGCCTTCGGCTCGTCGCCTCCGCATGGCACCGTTGCGTCTATTGGCTATGACGAGAAGTATCTTGCAGGCGTCTCTGCGTGTTATGGACCCGTCGGCGGCTGAGAGTGGACTTGTTGTGCCTCCCGAGACAGGAGCTGTCGAGACTGAGGCTGTCACCGTTACTGTTGAAGACGACGACGATGCGTTCAGTCAAGACGGCGCGAGTAACGCGCTGGAACGGCCACGCGACAGCAGTCGTGCTCTACCAGGATGTGCGACAACCCTTTCCGAAACGTCAAGAGACTGTACGAACGACGGGTCCATTATGTACGCGGTCGCTCTGCTCCGTAAACTGCAGCAGCACGCCGGTGCCAACGAACGCGGCGAGGCTGAGGTCCAGCGCAAAGAGCTCGATCAGATTCTGCATGGCTTCATCCGTGCCCTGGAAACCATGACCTTGACGTGGGGCAAGCGGAGCGTCAAGAACACAGTGCAAACGCTCTTTGATGCCCACGCGCACGTGTTTGACGACAGCATGCAGAACTTCTTCATCCAACACTTTCTGCACGAACCCGAGGGCGTCAAGACATTCCGCACGGCACTGCATCGAACGAGCATGCTTCGCCGCTGTCTGGTGGCCATGTATCAGACTGAGTGTGGCGACAGTGCAAAACGCAGCAAGAACTTGGGCGACGACAACGGAATCGCTGCCCGCTGCTGGAGCAATGTGCTGGCACAGATCACAAAGCCGGAGAATCACGCATGTCGTCTGTTTTCGATTGAAGAGTGCCCGGAGCTCACAAATCCATCCGCTGTCCGTGCTGTGGAGCATGCGATTGCCAAGATTGACTCCTGGGACTTTGACGTCTTTGCGGTACGATGCTGATGGCAAAGCTTGCCTCCCATGTCGGTTTCTCTGATGCTTTTTTCCTTCATTTGACTAGATCACGGTGGCTGTTCCAGGCCAGGCATTGTGCATCGTCGGTAATGCATTACTAGAGAAATACGATTTCTGCCGTCATTTTAAGACCTCGAAAGCGCGCGTGACATCATTCTTGCAGCAGTAAGTTTCTCAGTCGGCGTCTTTTGCTTGCATCATTAGCTGCTCACCATTTACTCCATCACGATTCATTCCAGTGTGCAGCGCAGATATTACGGCCACCCGTATCACAACGGTACAGTCCTTGCAAGCTTTTCGTCTTGCCTCGCGCTAACAGTGCATTGTTCTTGCTGTCATCTTATGACTACAGCCGAGCATGCCGCAGACGTCGCCCAAACGCTGCACCATTTTCTGACCGTAGGAAACTTGGGCAGCTTGTTGACTGAACGCACCAAGTGTACGGCACTTCTAGCAGCCATTATACACGACGTCGTGAGTGCCGCACGTCATGAGTATGCTCGCTGATGGTTCCCCATTGTCTGACATGTCCGAGTGCTTGACTGGTATGGTCAGGGTCACACAAGCTACAGCAACAATTTTCATATCGCCATCAATGATGACGTGGCTGCCCGATACGTGTACAGCTCTCCACTTGAGCACATGCACTGTGCATTGGCCTTCCAATTGATGAAGGACCCCCGATGCAACATTCTCCAAGGTCTTACGAAGACCGAGCAGCGAGAGGTACTGGAAGCACGGGGTACCACGGAAACAGCCACAGAGATCTGATTGATGTGTGTTTTGTTCACCTTAGACTCGCAGTGTGATCACCGACATGGTATTGGCGACCGACAACAGCGTGCACTCTGCGTGCCTGGGCAAGCTGGACAACCTCGTAAAAAGGTATGGCGTCTCTACGTGTTACGCCTTGCTGCATCGCTAGCACCAATTCTGACAGCTGCTTCCTTCTACGTTGATGCAGGTCAACAAGAAAAGGCTGGAATTACGCAGATCCGAATGATGAGCGACTGGTGCTGCAAATGGCGCTGCACACTGCAGACGTGTCGAACCCGACCAAGCCGTTGCACATTTACCTCGTCTGGGCTGATCGCATCAAACAGGAATTCTACCAGCAAGGCGACAAGGAGCGTGAACTGTTGCTACCCGTGAGCAGCGGCTACGATCGCAAGCAGCCGATTCCACTGGAGAAGATGCAAGCAGGATTTATCATTGGCATTGTTCGACCGCTCATTCTCTCGCTGAGTCTGCTGCCAAGTGCACGATTGGATCACTGTATGGAGCAGTTGGACGCCAATTTGGGCCATTGGCAGCGTCAGATCTGCGAGACTCAGTCGTCCTTAAAGGTTACAGATGCTTGGGATGATGAAGCTGACGCACGTGGTGCCAATTAGCATAGGATAGGTAGTCTAAATTAATGAGATCAGAAAGCGGCACTGTGATCGTCCGTTTAGGTACGACGATGCTTTCCACCAATCACACACGTTTGCACCAGACCATTGTTTTCGACCTCTCGTTTCATTTTCGTACCCCCTTCGTACCCCCTTGCAGTAATACATTGTAAACGACAAGATGCTGAGCCTCGTGAAGAAAGTAGTGACCGTGACGACTCCAGCGGGCCGTCGTGCGCCCGCGCCGTCTCGTCTGATGAGTCAAGGCCCTGCCCCTCCTGAGGGAAGTCTGGAAGCCAAGGTCCGCCACTACCTGCCGAAAGATTACCACGTACGTCTTTGAATCCCTCTTGTTAGTTATATGCGGGTAACTGGTATTGGTTATTGACGGTCTTTTTTGATACATTGCGTTGCAGATCGTGCTGGCGACTTTGGGTGCATACACGACGCTCATCATGTTGTTTAAGCTGAAGCCGTCCTCGAAGAAGAAGGAGGTGGAGGAGCCTGTTGTCGGTGCGTTCATTATGTGGTGGTCGAGTGTGGACAGTTGGGAGGTATAACTCCTGACGTGTTATTGTTGGGGTACTCTTTGCTTTGGGTTATTGTTGGGGTACTCTTTGCTGTTGCAGCTTCCAGCTCGACGTCGGTGTCGACGTCCATCCCGTCGCTCTTCGATGATGAGTTTGACGAGTGGTCGAAGCTGCCAGGCAACCTGGACAAGTGGGAGAAGAGCCTGGAGACTATGGGAAACTAGGTGCTGTCCTTGATTACGCAGGCGGCAGATCAGATGGAAGATGACGCTTGTGTGTCTCACTTGCTGGACTAGTTGAGGGTGGTAGTACTGGCTACTCTTCGCTCCAGCAAGGCAGTTATTGACACTTTTGAAGGATGGGAGGTCCCAGTGCATGAGACGGTCTGCAGAAAGTGAAGTTGTCGCTACACGCTGCGGTCGTACTGCTACGTCTAATTCTGTTGAATGAAATGGTGAGGCAACACATGGGTATCAATACCGTTACGAGTGTTGCTGCCAGTGGCTATGAGACGCCTGTTTGCATTTCGCCTGTTCGCATTTTGCTGATCTCTTCAACCCATCCACTGACAGATACGTGACAAACGCCGACGGGTGATACACGGTGGTTGGTATTATCGAGTTGCTTCGAGTAGTATTACGTATGCATGAAAGTCTCGGCGTCTTCAATATCCGAGAACACCTCCTCTGATCAGATACGATCAGTCCCCAATAGAGCCAAACTCTGGTGATCCGTCACCGCGCAGCCGCTCGCACAACATTGGCTCGTAGTGGTCGCCGCCTCGGTCGCTGCCTGTTAATCGCATGAGCAAAAACCACGGTGCATGGCCCTTCGAATGACAGATCGTGCTCTGCTGCAAGCCGACCTCGCCGCGGGGGCGGTGGGGCAGGAAAAACATCTTGCCACATCCTACTAGAACGACAAAGATGTCACGCTGATACGCCGTCGCCAGTGCCTCCAGCACGAAATCGTCACCCCATGCTACGCGCGAATTATCAGGGTCATTGTCCACAGAAATAAGCCCACGGTCAGTGTAGTTTAGACCAACGAGGAAGTGCGTGTTTTCCCCCCGGCCCACCGTCATGTAGTCGCAGTAAGAGTGCGCGTCTACGATCGGCTGTGCGTACGACGTGTACACAGCTTCTGCAGCTTTTCCCCACGAGTAGCCCCTCGACTGCAGCTCAGCACATTTGTCCAGCAGCATCTTCTTCTCACTCCGACGCGCGACAAACCGTCGCGTCTGCACCGGACTCACGCCCCACCCACCTTTCAATGTTGGGTAGTACAGATTCTGGATGGCTTTGTTGATCTTCTGCTGCTCTTCCGAGGTGCTAGAATCGTAGTGAGCAAGGAAGAACTTTGTAGCCACTCGGCGAATCCCTTCCGGTGAGAGAGGCTCACACTCTTCCGTGTATAAAAGCAACTGCTCCATCGACAAGAAGAGGCAGTCGCCGAATGGCAGTACCGGGGCCAGATATTTGACGCTGTAGGCCGTGTCATGCGGCTCGTACGACACGCCGTCCTCTTCCAGCGCACGCAGCAGGTCACGACTGCTCGAGTCAATGTTCGAGACACGCTGCCAGCCCATGCAAACAGTCACAGGGCGATCGACCACAGCAGGTCGCGCCGTCATCACAAACTGCTCCGTCTTGGACCGTCTCGGCGTCAGCAACACCTCCTTCGGTCGGGCCTAGAACAGAGCACAGCACAACAGAAAAACACAATCTCGTTACTGTGCAGCTCTTGCTTCCCAAACACCTCCTCCCCCTCCCTTTTACTCATCGACTCACCATTTGTTGGTACTGGGAGTACGCCAACAGACGCGAGTCCAGAGCGTGCTGGGCGTCCATAATGGCTTCACTGTAGCCATCATGGACCGTGATCTGAGTCGAGGCGTCCATCGCTGGCAGAAACGGCAGCGCTACTGGCATCGCGTCCAGCTCCATCGACTCTTCCAGCTCAACCCCACCATCTTCTTCTCCAGCCTCTTGTCTCTCCAGCTCAACGCTGTCGTCCGAGTCGCCAAACGTCGCACTCTCGCACGGAGACGTGGCGGTCGACGTCGCCTCTCCCGCAGACTTGATCACCTCCTCTGCGACGTGACGCGCTTGCACGTCACTCCTCTTCTGCTTCAGCACAAACACGTACTCCTTCTCGTCCTGCATGGTCATAAACCAGAGCCAAGCTGACTCCTTCTTTCGCCCTCGGCTTGAAATCGCAACTGGGTTCTTCTCTTTCGGGTTCGATGGCGACTTTGACGGAGAAAAAGCGTGGAGACGGGCGAGTAAAGCACGGTTTGCTGTCGAGGTCGCGAGAATGTGTACCACTCCATCTGTCAAAAACTCCCAATGCGAACTTAGCTTGTGCAACGGGGATCATAACACTTATGCTGCACGAGCATAAAGGTTATGCTGAGTATTAATTATGGGGATCCCGGTATGATGTGAGTGGAATTTGTTTTTTTTTAAAAAGATAGGGGAGCAAGCTCAGGTGCTCGCTCTGTAGCATGAGTAATCCAGTCCAAGAAAAGAAGTCAGATTCTGCATATATTCACGTTCCATTTCTGGTAGTTAGCGGCTAGGGAAGAGGTTGTGTTGTTTTGTGAGCTAAATAGTAAAGTGCTGATAGATCTTTGTGTGTGAATGATACTTGTTGATGTTGTTGATCTTCTAAAGAGGCGAATGTTGGAGAAGGTAGACAAGATGATCCTGCGCGGTAATACGGGCGACGACATGTGATAGGGGAGCGCGCTCCGGAGTTCGCCCTTCGGTACAAGTAATTTAGTTCGGAGAACTAAATCAAGTTGCAAAACACTATACAACAGCAGTCACTGAAGAATTAGTATGATGCTATCAATGTCTGTATTAACCCAGTAAAGTATACTTGGGCAACGCAGTCAGCCTTTGCTTATGTGATTATGTGCACCTCTGATCATTTCAAGCCGATCACGTGCGTGCGTCACAATAGTGACCTAGACAAAAATGACTTTGAATACACCAGTATACATATGAGAAGGGACAGGCTTGATCGCACTTAGCACGGGTAAGATACACCTAGCCGCGTTGTTTACAGACAGACAGACATAAATAAGCACGATTTAAACAGTTCTGCATTCAGCTTGCGAACAGTCGCTAATAGCTTCACCCTTCGGGCTCGCAATGAATGTTTTCGGTATGGCTACTCGTCCGACGACAAGTGACTGAAACACTTTCAGTGAACATCGATTGCAGTGAACGTTTTCAACGTTTTTATTCAGGAGAATTTGTAGGTGCACACCCACCCTTTGATGCGTACACACCCAGTCAAAATGTTTAAATTGATCAGCGGCGCCTGTGTACTAAACGATCAAATACACAACGAAGAAAAGTATCATAGATTAAACTGTACGATTGTGCGATATCGGAGATGACTTATCTTGCATAATTTAAAGCTGGCTTACAACGAGAGTGTAATTTCTGACTTCGCAAATACTCCGATTTCGAGGCCGCTACGGTCAGCGGACTGTCTAAATATGAATTATTAGCGCTCGCTCTATATTCATTAGTACCCTCAACAGCCACTGGTCCTGTGCGATTAATTAGGTTGCATACAATCGATCGTAATGGCATACCAATCTTTCACTGACACGATCCGAGTATGCAGCACTTTATGTAACATGTTGATAGATATAACGATAGCGACCAAGTTACACATGATGACGTCAATCGCTACTAAGATCTTCTTCACCTTAAAAAGAAAATGAAGATTCAACTGTGGAATGTCTATGATCACGACCTCAACCACGTCGTGGCAAAACTGGCACTGCATCTAGCTCCTTGGCAGATTCAGTATCAGACAAAGAAGACTTAAAAGCACTTGGATCGCAGCGGGATGGGCAGAGATTTCTCTTCTCCACCTTAGTCGTGCACGCCGTTTTAATCAACAACATACCACAAGTGAACTTCCACAGAAGCGTGCATGCTAGCATCAGACAGTGTGCCATTGCCATAATCGTCATACACTGCATTGGTTTTATTGTGAGGTAAGTGGAAACTTGGAACTGCGTACTGAGCTGCGATCCTTTTGCGACTCTTCCTTTGAAGTAGTTATGTTGGTACTTGTTCTGACCATCATGAGCGCAAACCCACCAAACTTTCCTAGTCTCATCTATGTGTCACTTCTTTGAGCAGCTTGTAATCAATGAACATTCTTCATTAATTTCATGAGCGATCATTACTGTTTTAACGCCCGCCTGCGATACAGCCTCTTAAGGCAAAGTGAAGTCGATTACGAATTTCGCTGTTAGGACAGTGCAGTCTTCCGGCTACAGCCTTATCTGAACTAAGATCCCACTGCCACTTTACCTAAGAATGTAATGACTTTGTCACTTTATGCATTTAAGTTATGATTTGTGTACATTATTAATTTGAACAGCTTGAATGGGTGTGCACGTAGTTTAAAGGTAGGTGTATATCATTAATTATAATATGTTTAGTAAGAGTGGACTTAAGATACGTGCAGCGGCACGCCGACGCACTGCAAGGTGTTGTTACTGAGAGTAGGGTGCACTAAGGAGTTTTATCTAGCATCAATAATCTATACAGAGATTGTGAATTATACGAAGTTGTTATCTACTGTAGGTGAGATTGCGACAGCGTAAAAAGAAGCTCTCCCGGTCAGCAGTTGCCATGCTGCCATCGCCCTTGTATGGGCTTTCCACAAGTTGCGAAGATTTCATACACTCTCGACTTCGCTTAATGTATCGATTCAATGTTTGACGTCATACCAGATGTGTTTCTCCTTGTTCAACGCAATGTCCCGGTCGGTTGTGTGGGAACTTAGAGCGAGTACTTGGTATCCTCGCTTCGTTTGCTGGGTCTGACATCGAAGTATATTGCCGATACTGATGAGCCCATCTGGCGACTGAGACATCGCCAGCAAGCGGACGCGCTTTGCGATACAGTGAGGTGATGTGTAGTTTGGGAGGCGAACGATACATTCGGAGCTAATTCGTACCTGTGCACGAACCTCGATGAGATGCAGCAGTTTAAAACGCTGTCTGACGCATTCCATATTTTATGTACGCAATTCATTGATTAGGCACATAGTCCATTTATCAGGCATTACATTCGGCCGAGTCATTAAATTAGGCCGATTTATCTGTTGTCGTCTTTGTTCCAAGTAATGTACTAGCCAACCAAACAACTGTACCGGCACGTTTGTAGCTAAACACGGAAGATGACAGATCCTTATCCACCTGGACTGAGTAAATCTTGTGAAACGCCATTAAAGTAGACTTGAAACGGTCCTTTGGAAAATCTGCAAATCATGCAGCATCAATAGAAAGAAGTCTGTGTTCTTTAGAAGCTCTAAGCGCACCCTTGCTAGCACGTATTCCCGGCTACATCCACCTGGTAGGTGCATAGAATTTAGAGAAAGAAATAGCTAAATACGCAGAACGGAGTCAGAAGTCACATGATGGCTCTGAGCTGACATCACTGGACACTCGATCCGTCATAGCTGCTTAATCGTACTGCGTAAATTTGTGATCGACACTTTGAAGCGCCTGAGTTCTTTTGTAGTTTCAAAAATGGCTTCGTGGTCGTCCAGTGTCCTATCACTCGCACTTGGAGAATCTTGAGCTATATCCACGCACGTTTCGGGTTTGGTAAAGAGTATTGTGCAAAAACGGTGAGTGGCAAAATTGCCTTCAAATTGTAGACCTAGTTTGTGTTGGCTAATGTTGATCTTGCACTTGATGAGGTAGAAAGGAAACTGATATTCAAACTGTGTTGTTATTTCCTAGCTATTCCGCTTGCTATCTCGCACACTATGTTTCTGTATCTGCTGCTGTTACTAGGTTGACTTACTGTCGCTGCTCTACCCTTCATCACCACTCCGACGACTCGCTTTCTGCATGTTGGTAACTGCAAGCTTCTTCACCCATCTTTGCAGCTCCTTCATCTGTCGACTTCCCTCTTATACACATACAAACAGTCGCCGACACCAACTTGATCTGGCATGTCGTGCCGCACATCGTGACTGCTCATCCCGATCTTCAACGGTTTGCCTCTGACCTCTCAAATGCATCGCCATCGTTGCTACGGAGCAATGTTAGAAATTACGACTTGCAGGAGCGTATTTCCTGACGAGCATTGCCGCAACATATTTTTCTTTAGTACAGTTGTTAGTCACATCTGTAATAATGCAGCCTAAATGCACGAGTACAGCGATCGACGAATAAGGTCGGCTGAATGGACTTGTCGGTAGGATAAAATTCCTTCGCGGTTCGCCCGTTCAAGTTCAGTTGTGGCTTTGCATAACATATTACTCACAGCAAATTACTCCAAAAGACTTCCTGAGTTCAGCAGCTTCTAAACCTCACACTTCTGTGACCTCACACCTATGGTTGCACGCCGACACTTTGTGCGCTTATACAGGGCACCGAGAGCAGTATACTCGAAAAGTTACGGTGCCATCGGCTGAAGCCCGCCGTCTTTTCACTTCGACAAGTCTACAATTGGTTCAGAATCTTAAGGCTCACCGGCTCGTTGTCCAAGAGTCATAGAACGTTTCCTCTAACTGAGGTTCACACCGACCCCAGTAGCCGAGTGGTAGACACTGGAACTGGGACTGGGAGGTACCTGGATCGATACCCGGTGGGGGTTCGATTACAGGGGCGGAGATATAATAATGTAGACGAAACCACCAATGGGTGGCCGGTGGTGGAGGCTACAGCCGAAAGCCCATAGTGTAATGAGGGGTGGGGTCTGCAAGGAGTTCAAACTGAGTAAGTACTCCAAATCACCAGGGTGATTGAAGGATCCATCAATCTCTAACTGAGGTTCACACCGACCCCAGCGGCCGAGTGGTAGACCGCTGGAACTGGGACCGGGAGGTACCTGGATCGACACCCGGTGGGGGTTTGATTACAGGGCGCCGGAGATAGGTCGATATAGTAGACGAGCAACCACGCAGAATTGGCCGCCCTGCCAACCCGCGCAAGGCGTGTGATAGTGGGTGGGCTGGAGGCCCTACTGGCCGAAAGCCCCATAGTGTAATGAGGAATGCGGGTCTTGTAAGGAGTTCAAACTGAGTCAGAGCACTTGCAGTTCACCCAAGGGTGATCTAAAGGACCGCGCGGCATAAATCTCTCTAATTGAGGTTCACCAGCTCGTCGTCGACTTGGATCTTTCTTTCGCTTGTAGCGAGTGTTACTTACCCAGACCTCCATCATCTATTGACGCTACCGGTCCAAACCTCTATAATGTATTCTTCTTGAGGTTCGACGGCAGACATATTCTAACTTACGCAGAGTCTTTCCTGAATAGTGACTCGTGTCTTGGACATAGAATTTTTTTACTGTAATTGTTGGCCTCTTCTGCTATATCGTAGAGTCGCATTGTGTGGCTCCCCTTCCTCCCATGCACAACCTAATGAAACGGGTTTCGTATCTTCTGTCACACGAGTCCATCAACTTCCAAAATTTCCAGCCTTGTCTTCGCCAACATCAATTGTTCATCGATATACCCTCTTAAAGAATGTAACCCATAGTAATTATCTGTAAAAAAATCATACACCACAATTGCCCCAGTCGTGATCGATCTCAACGGGAGAGTATTTCGAACAAAAATTATCCGATTCTACCGTTGCCGTTATTCGTCCCAATCACTTCTGTTCGTTGACTCTTCACTCTGTTGTGTTGCTATGTCTCATTTTTTTTACTTGTGCCAGTTCCTTGGTGGTGTGTTCTTTTACTCTTTGCGGTGTGCCAATTTTCGTCTGATGTCGAGTTGTCGACTAGCCCTTACAACTGACAGCCGTTTTCAGCTTCCACTGGTACCAGCGAGACTTTAAGAAGTGTTCACAGCTCGCTACTATAGTAGAGTCTCCGCAAACTAATACTCGCTAAGTCAATATTATCCCCAACTTAATGGACAAGGCGAGTCCATGTTGGGCTCAGGCCAAATATAATAAACTCCCTTAATTTTTTTAGTAAAGCTAGAGAATTTCTCTGTCATACAAATATTAAACTACTGCCGAGGGACCACTACAGAAAAAATTCAGAGTTTGTTGCTTAAGGAACTTGTGCTAAAGATTTTCCTATCTGATCCTGCATCTTCTGAATTATCCATGAGAACTCCTCTCCAGTCTCCTGCCGCAACCAGAAAGTCTTGAGCTCTGCAAGCATCGATGTAGCACTCCGAAGAGGGACTGGCGGTGCGGCCACGCAATACTTCTCCTTCATTACACGTGCAGCAGCCTTTGCTTCTACCCTATCCCCCATCTCTGCTATTTATTAATTCTCGTAATAATTTAGCGGTCCCAGTCATATTAAATAAAGGAGACTCTACTGTACCCGGTTTATTTGCCGGAGCCTCTACACCACCGACAGCAATATCATGTGAGGCCACGGATACTGGATGCATAACACCCCTTATTGATTTTACTGTAACGGGGTGAATCGTTACATAACAATTTATAAGAAATTGTTAATAGAATATAACTATAAGAGTTATATTCTCAGAATATTGTCATAAGGACAAATATTCTGTAGCACTTACGAGTAGTTCCTAAGTGGTTGATATTGGCCATTATATCAACCAACGAAGACGCGCTACGACAGACGCACGCAATGAGTGGTGAGCAGATAGTTGATTTACACATTTGTATTTAGACATAGTTAGATGAAGATAAATAGTGATTTTTTGCAGACATTAACTATACTAAATACAGTTCTACTTTTTACTCTAACCAAGTACTCGCTTCTTCTTACCGTCTTCCTCTGCACGTACGAGTGTACGTGAAGTTACGAGGCACCGCCTTATTCTGTCATCAGAATAAGTAGCTTGTACTGTCACCAGTACAAGCTTCAGGGTGCCCCGTTACACCTGGTAGCACTTCGTAGTCCGTCCAAGGACCACGTTCACATCTAACATGAATATGTTGGATGATGAAGATGACCAAAGCTTTCACGCTACGCGTGACGGCTACTCCCATTTGAGCGATGTCGAATGGGATGCGGTTGAACGAATGGGTTCGACCATGGGCATCCATGCTGTTAGCGTCATGCTAGAGGCTCTCAATAGAGATGCCCAACATGCTACTATCGCCAAGTTCATTCAAAATGAACTTGACGCAGAACGCGAGAAAGTAGCCTTGCTTCACCAACAAGGTTCTCAACAAGCAGAGTTGTTGAGAGAACAGGGTGCTCAACAGTTTAAACTGTTGAAACAGCAGCAGGCTGCTGCTGGTGGGTCAATGCACTCGCGTCGACACGAAACCTTGAAGATTGACATCTCCAAGTATAGGGGAGTCGAAGAGGACTCCCTCTTGAGATGGTTTGTCGAATTGGATGACGCCATAAGGGCGCGTCGCATCGACGACGGGGATATGCAAGTTGCATTTGCTCATTCAAATCTGGCAGGACGTGCCAAGATTTGGGCTTTGGGGCTCAAGTTGCATGACCCATATGCGTTTGGGTCGTTGGAAGTCTTCAAGTCGTGGCTCAGACAAACGTTTGAACCGCCTAGAGCTGAGTTCAGAGCTCGAACCGAACTCTTGAAGCTCAAGCAGGGTAAGCGTGATGCACGCTTACGCGCAACATATACGACATCTTACGAGTTGTGTAAGTTCCAATCCGGTGGATGAACACACGTTGGTTTCGGTGTTCATGCAGGGTCTTGCGGATGGTCTCGTCAAGACTCACCTGTTCCGGCTTGAACTAGATTCACTAGAACAAACCATATCCATTGCGGAACAGAAGACTTCATCTGAGACAGGCTCGCGCCAGCTCGACATCATATCGTCAACCGAGACGATATGACAACGGAGGTCCAGAGCCGATGGAACTCTGTTATGTAGAGAGCGAGAAGGCTTGCTCTACAGACTACAAGAAGTTGCAGAGATGCAACAGATGTCAAAAGACAGTACACTACGCTTACGAGTGTAGTGCCCCTCGTCCAGTGTCTTGCAACACTGGGCGTAATGACCGTCCACCCATGAGAAAGGGGCAGGGACGTGGGTCCGCTGTTGGTGCAAAGACTCTACAACGGGATGGACCGTCAAAAAACGGACAGGATCAGTAGGTGCGGAGCACCCTACTGGTCCAGCAACGTCAAGAGAATTTGTAGGCCTCTTGATGAAGGTTGCTCCCAACACACAAACGTTGTGCGTTGCTGCTCCAGGTAATGAGATCTCACTCATTACCTTGAAACTCGAAGTGACGAATAAGTTGTCCCTTCGAGATCTAGTCGATTGTGGGGCGTCCAACAATTTTGTGCAACGTCAATCGCTAGAAGATGGTCACTTTAAGTTCAGTGAATGTGACACACCTCCTAAGAGGATAACGGTACGTCTTGCGACAGGCGCATCCGTAACCGTCATGAAGCGTATAGTGAAGATCCACTATACGCTAGAAGATACCCAATATGACGATGACTTTATCGTATTGGATTTGGATGACAAATTTGATGTCATCCTTGGAATACCGTGGCTCAGAAGGTACGAACCACGGGTAAACTGGCAACATCGAACAGTAACGATGCCTGCCGCTTGTTCATCAGATGGCCATCTGATGAACGTTTTGGAGCGTCCACAAGCGTGTGGATGTCCTACGAGTGAGTGCGATGGCCTCACTTGTGGTACGGTCGTTAGTACGACTGCACTAAACCTTAGTGTAACAAACGGTGACACTTTGGAGCAAAGTTCCTGCGGCTGTGAGGAAACACAGGCTGCGCCGAAGGTCCACCACTCGAATAAGTCGAGTGGACCGGGACAAAGATGTATCCCTAGCGGGGAACATCTAGAAGATAAACAATCGATCGCTCTGGTTAAGCGAAACGATAATCCTAGATCGACTGGAGAGTCTTTCGTAGAGGATCTCGCTGTGGTTGCGCAACCACAGCTAGAGGAAGTTAAGGGAATAAGTCTAGATATAACAAATACGGCGGAAATAAGTTCCCCGAAACCCGCGGGAATAATTCCCCGGGAAGCCGAAGGAATAAGTCCTTCGAGGCCTGAGAGAATAAGTCCCCAGGAAATGACAGAGACATTGAATGTCATAGTCAATAACGGATCAAGTGTAGGCTCTTATACACTTGATCTGATTGCGCCTCCGAAGTTGACTTCGGAGATCACTCAGTTGCCAACGCTCAAACATAAAAGGTTCTTGCGTGATCTGCGTAGTGGCAAAGTCAAGCAGATCTGCGTACTCGTCGCTGACGACGAGTGTGTAGCCGACATAAGGTCAGCAACAGTGTTTACTGAGAACGAGATAGTTCTCAGTAGTTCATCTATGGACGAGAGTGTCCTAGATGAAAAGACACGAGTTGAGCGATATGACTCCCAATCGTGGGAATCGCTCAAGACAAATCCTCTCTATGAAGATTTGGTTGAATTCAAGGATGTATTCCCTGAAACTGTTCCGTGCGAGTTACCGAAGGATAAAGGTATTCGACACGAGGTCGAGCTTAAACCAGGCTCGAAGTACTGTGTCATGAAGCAGCGGCCACTGCCTCGTGAACAAGTACTTGCGATCGACAAGTTCTTTGCCGATCGTTTAGCTGCGGGCCATGTGAGGGAATCAACTTCCCCACATATCTCTCCGACCTTCTGTGTGCGAAAATCAACAGGAGGGTGGCGGATAGTGCATGCATTTAACAAGTTGAATGCTGCAACGGTACCGGCTCAGACGCCGATACCGAGGAAGGACGTAATCATTGATGGTATGTCAAAGAGTACCATCTTTTCGTCCATGAATTTGATGGATGGCTTCTATCAAATCCTTATGCGAGAACGGGACATACCCTATACCGCAGTTAGCACGCCTAGCGGCATGCTCTGGGAATGACTAGTACTGCCACAAGGGCTTAGTAATGCCCCTGCCACGTTCAACAGATGTGTATCACATCTGTTGAGACCAGTACGAGAATTCGCGCCGAGTTATTTCGATGACGTATTCATTCATAGTCGAGCTATGGATGGAAAGCCGGACGTTGAGGTTCACAGGTACCACGTCCGACAGGTTCTTACAATCATGCGAAAGCATCAATTGTATGCAAACCTCAAGAAGTGTATATTTGCAGCAAGCGAAATACCACTTCTCGGGTGCATCGTTGGTAAGAACGGTATACGTCCTGATCCCAAAAAGATTAAGGCGATCACCGACTGGCCTGTGCCGGTTGATGTCAAAGGTCTTCGAAAATTCCTTGGGCTAGCGGCTTATTTGCATAAGTATTAACGCAATTACGCCGAGATGACTGTGCATCTCTCTCGTTTGTTGAAAAAGAACGAGAGGTGGTTATGGAACGCTGAATGTCAGCGCTCCTTTGATGGTATCAAGCAGAGCTTGATACGATTCCCAGTCCTAGCAATTGCCGATCAGGACAGTCCATTTCATGTGGTCTGTGATGCCAGCGATTTCACAATCGGCTGTGCATTAATGCAGTACGATCTTGAAGGCGTTGAACGCGTCTTCTGCTATCAGTCGCGTCAGCTGCAACCAGCTGAGCGGAACTATCCAGTGCATGACAAGGAACTCCTTGCCATGAAGTATGCACTCGAAAAGTTCAGAGTCTATTAGGAGATAGACCCCTCATTGTTTACACTGACCATGCGTCATTACGCACGGCAGTGAACAGCCCGCACCTTTCACAACGAATGGCGCGGTGGTTGTCATTCTTTGCAGAAAACAACTTTACGGTCGAGTACAAACCAGGACGACTCAATGTCGTCGCTGATGCACTCTCACGTCGTCCCGACTTTAAACCAGTCGTGAAACCCAACAGTGAGACAGTCACTGTTGCGGTTATGACGTCCTCAGTCCCATCTACTACGTTGTATGATGATGTGAGGCGGGCATACGCCCAAGATGGTGAGATTGTGAAGTTGTTGACACATCTTTCACAACCATCCCGAGAATCGTTAAAACGATTATCGTCTGCGTATCGATATGCATCAGATCGATACACTACTCGTAACGGGTTACTGTATTATACAGCCGTTTCTGGTGACACACCACGTGTTGTCATTCCAGATGATACTGATCTGCGTTTGCGGATCATGTTCGAGTATCACGATGCTCCTATAGGAGGACATCGTGGCCGGGAGAAAACATATATCACGGTGAGTCGAGACTTTAACTGGCCCCGCCAGTATCAGTTTGTGCGAAAGTATGTTCGCGCATGCGAAGTCTGTCAACGAGTGAAGTCAAGTCCTTCACTGCGTGCACCTTTACAGCCTCTACCGGTTCCGGCTGAGTGCTGGGAATCCATCTCAATGGATTTCGTCTTCGGGTTACCCAAAGACGCACGCGGGAATACGGGTATTCTCGTATTTGTTGACAGATTCAGCAAAATGGTACTCCTTGTGGCTGTACCAGAGACAATCACGGCAAGTGGCTGTGCTTGTGTCTTTATTGACACCATCTTCCGACTTCATGGGTTGCCCCGTGAACTCGTATCAGACAGAGATCCACGATTGACTGCTGATTTCTGGCGTTCCGTGCTCAAATCACTCGGAACGCGCTTGAAGATGTCGACATCTGATCATCCAGAGCCAGATGGTCAGACGGAACGTGCCAATCGTGTCCTCGAAGAGATACTTCGAGGATACGTACACTCCTTTAAGAGTTGGAGTGAGTTCTTGCCAATGGTATAGTTTGCCGTTAACAACTCAGTGCATGCGTCCACGACACATACACCGTTTTACGTAAATGGCTTGCGCTATCCTCGTGTACCCACCTTACTAGAGTGTAACTCTGGTTTAAGGGGGGGGAGACTCGCGCGAGCAAAAACCGATTTGGTTCACGCTCATCACGCTCTGACGAAGAGGTCATTGCGTTTGATGCCGATATCGATAACATCGATATCGAAGAAGATGATGCCAGTGAGAGTGCGGAAGCCCTCACTGAAGAAAAGATTGATGTTGCTGCAGTGCGCTCACAGCGCACTGAAGATAACGAGTCATCAGATGAGTTCATACTGGCTCGTGAAACGGTAGTCCGTTTTGTGCAAGAATCCATCGCCGAAGCGGCGGATAAGCAAAAGCAAAACGCTGACAAGAATGGAAGGGCAAACACTACTTTATCTAATAAAGGTGACTTAGTCCTACTGTCTACGGTTAATCTACCAAAGCATGTAGTGACTAACTTGGGTAGCATTAAACTACTACCCAAGTACATCGGCCCATTTCGTGTATTGCACCGCCTAGGCAACGCATACACAATCGAGTTGCCACGTAAGATGCGAACGCATCCCACGTTTTACGTTGGTCGGCTTAAGCCGTACCATCAGTACGCTGCTTCTTCCGATGAAGAACGCCCTTGCGCTCAAGCATCTCGCAGAGAGCCTTGTGCTCCCGATGGTGGGCATCGACAAGGGTCTGAAGAGCATTTATCTCATCCCGAGACCGATCAACAATCCCACGAGCTACCCTTAGCTCGTCACGAAGAGATGTCAGAGCTCTCTCGTTCTCAAGCTGAGCAAAGGCAAACTCAGCTCGATGCTTCAAGACAGTGTCCGCCATTTGGAGACGCCTGTCCCGCTCATGTTCGAGATCGTTGCGTAAGCCTTGCGTTACGCGATCAAAGAAGCTCTCGAGAACACACGGATCCCCACGATCGTGTGGAGATCGTCTTTCCTCCTCCTCCACTTCCATTAGAGGACTCTCGCGGTGGCCAGCGCTATCTAGTTGAGCAGCTGTTGAAGCACCGCGACGTGAACGGACGTCGGACGAGTTATCTCGTCCGGTGGCGCGGCTATCCCCCGTCCTGGGATTCTTGGGAGCCCCGCTCCCAACTGATGATCGACGTACTGGGTCTGGTTGAGCAGTACGACGCGGCACATCCTGTGCCGCAGAAGGACCGCCGGAGAAAGTCTTCCCGGCACGGTCGTAAAGGCATTTCAAGTTGTCAATCCCTTCGTACATCTCACTAGAGATACGTACGCGCCACCACGGGCTAGTAAGGAGGTAAACCTCTTTAGGTGCTCGTGCGGAGTTGTTCACATGGCACGAGTCTCCCCAAGAGAGGCAGGGTAATCCTTTCTCCCTTGACAGACGATGCAGCTTGTAGAGTGCACCTGTCGGGGTTCGCTTTTCAAACTTATCACGAGCTTTGATAAGTTTGTCGTTCCAAACGTCACGACTTACATCCTCAAGGTTATGGATGTAGGCGTTCCACGCTTGAAGTAGTGAGGGACCATCACGCTTGTGATTCCCACTGTACAATCGATGCTCAAAGAAACCATCGATGAAGAACTCATTCTCAGTGCGATAGTTTTTCGCGCTGGGGTCAAGGTGATGAATCTTTGACGAATCGAACAACCGTGTTCGATAACGATCACTCGTCGTCGCCGACAAGTGGTCCATGACAGATTTAGGAGGCATCCATTCCTTCTTCTCAGGAGCGAGACGCAAGACATTGCGGTCCCGCTCTTCCTGCGACGTGCCGACAGAAGGACTGGCACCTCGTTGCGAAGTAGTGTCCATAGGAGAACCGACACCACTGTTAGCGCCCGAGTCTTGCGACCTCGAGCGCCTTCGCTTCGGCGATGGTTCATCTGATTCATCAGATGAACCAAAGATTCTACGACGCATAGCATCATCCATTCCACGCTTGGCAGGCGGGTTGGATTCGATCGCCGTCGATACGGATCCGTCTTCCGTATCAGGAGAGTATGAGACACCGAGTTCATACTCTGTGAAGACATGAGTGTCTTCATGACCAGCGCCTGCATCACCAAGTGACACAGGCTGAGTCGCTTCAGCAACCGATGAGACATCAGTTGCTGTGGTTTCTGCTTCGGCGTCCGCACAGAGACGTGCGGACGCGCTCTCGGTGGCCTTGCTCGCGCATCGCATGGGCTTGTTAACCATGTGATGAGATGTTGGAAAGTGGACTCGGACCAACAAGTGCAAACCCCGTCCCAAATGATTTAGTACGAGTATCCATTTAGTCAATAAGTCACTAAAGTGACTGATGGTTAAGGGGGGGGTGATGTAACGGGGTGAATCGTTACATAACAATTTATAAGAAATTGTTAGTAGAATATAACTATAAGAGTTATATTCTCAGAATATTGTCATAAGGACAAATATTCTGTAGCACTTACGAGTAGTTCCTAATTGGTTGATATAGGCCATTATATCAACCAACGAAGACGCGCCACGACAGACGCACGCATTGAGTGGTGAGCAGATAGTTGATTTACACATTTGTATTTAGACATAGTTAGATGAAGATAAATAGTGATTTTTTGCAGACATTAACTATTACTAAATGCAGTTCTACTTTTTACTTTAACCAAGTACTCGCTTCTTCTTACCATCTTCCTCTGCACGTACGAGTGTACGTGAAGTTCCGAGGCACCGCCATATTCTGTCATCAGAATAAGCAGCTTGTACTGTTACCAGTACAAGCTTCAGGGTGCCCCGTTACATTCACCAACTACATACAAGACCGTCGTGAACGTTCTTCTAACCTAATCAACATCCCCACTGGACGCTTTGCTCGTCGAATCGTCGAGCTTGATCGGTATTATGTCTGCTTTACATGCGATGACTCTCTATGACCTTTTTACAAACTGTGATATATCTGGTCAAAGCCGTCCAGAACTCTCGTTCCTTAACCTTCACGTCGAGAAAACTCCGCATACATCTTGGCTTCATCGCCTCATCGCCTGTCTGGACGATCGCATGCAGCGCAGTGATACTAATCTGACTCGGATTACCACGACTTTATTGGAAACACCTAGCCTCTCCTCGACACCTTCTCTCCAGTCAATTGTTCGAGCGCAAACTCTCGTCGATATGTATACCTTGGTATGTGACAATGTCGTGTCTCTCGCTGACCACTCTTTACGTACCGCATGTGTGTAGCTCTTTTCCGTCCCGTCGAGATAGAGTCTCACGTCGATGTATTGACAGCGTAGTGCTGAATTGGTAAATTAAACACCAACATTCTGCAACAGAAAGAGATTATGAGTATTAAAAGCTTTAGCCATCGATTCCGCGGACTTAAATTGATCCCCTCCACATTCCATTTACTTGCTTGAACAATCAGTAGATCAATCTCCTAAGCACCAAGGTGAACGTCTGGCTACAGGTACACGTTTAGTCGCTGACCTGATGATCGTCATTTTGAATTTTGACCAATGGATGGATCATCTACTTCAATCTTTGAGGAGGAGACTCAGCACACCACGGCTCAAAATGTCACCGCCTTTTATCTCCGGTAACTTCAGATGGTGGCGTTTTCTACGTGCAATGGCGATCTCCATGCTCTTCAAGTCGCGAGGGAAACTATTAGCAGTCAGCAGCAACTAATTTAGCCGCAAAATTTACTTTAAATCGTGGTACTTTTCATTGTCCGTCGCACCTTGCTGTGGCTATTGCGGTCGGAGTCGAAGGTCCTGGCATGAACAACTATGATTTGGATCTCAATACTTGGCATTGTAGGATTGTGGACGAAACATTCCTGCTGTGCTATTTCTTGGTACATCTACTCTCCAGAATAGCGTGGTGCAGAGAATTTTGCAAGCAATATTCTGTACTATTGGCTAATTATAGAGGTTGAAACTCGACGAGACAGATGGGTGGACCCGACACGAGGGGCACTCCAGCGAGTCTCGGCGAGCTATCAACGACTTCAGGATAAAAAGAGGCAAAATTTAAGGTTGAGGATCGTCGAGGTAAAGCTTGTCAAGTTAAAAGCTCAGCAAAAGTGGTAGAATCTCAACGGTTTATTTTGCTCTAAAATTGAACTGTAGAATATAAGGGTTGAAAGGACGCCGCACAATAGGCCCCCTCTTAGTAGAAAAAGAGATAAATACATTCAGAGCAAAAAATTTTAAGTCCAAGACGCGTGTACAATTTTCTTGATTCCTTGCGTGGGTTAGATTACGTCTGCCGTCAAATTCCAAGAGGCACAGCTCGTAGAGATTTGACTAAAAGCACCAAGAGTTTAAGTTGAAAGGGTGGTCAATACTCGCTTTTCCAGCACAAGAAAGATCCTCGGCGATGACGAGCCGGTGACGCCCTATAGATGGCACCGCCAAAGCGTTTTCAAGTGACGATCCGGTCAACCTATTAAATGATGCTACTAAAGACTCGTCGAGCGACGAGTCAGTGGGTTTTAACCAAGGACACCATTAATCTTCGAGTTAATGTGTAATGCGCTCGGTGACTTGCAAACTCGTGAAAACGCCGACACTTACCCATTTTTGTGAAGTCACAGAGTGTTAGCATTAGAAAATGATAAGCTGTGAAAGTCTTCCAGAGTGATTTGTTGCAATAAATACGTTAGACACAAAAAAAGCCACTACTAAACTCGAAGAGGAGAAATACGCAGGTTTTTATCCTGCCGTACTAGCTCAGTTCTCCAACCTAACTCGGCGATTGTTGTTGTGCCCGTACCTTTAGGCTGTATTGAATTAGTGTGATTCATTGAGGTTAATCAAAAGATCTTTGATGGTAGGTTGGTATTAACACCACCATATCAAAAGTGTAGGTCTTTATCCTGGTCTCCGGACGGGACAATCGGGCTCGGTATGCGAAGGAAAGCGTAAACACAATTTGCGTGCTGCTTTGGAGCAAAGACCCTGCTGCACATCATTGTGCAGATGTATGTCGAGGTTACTGCAAGTGAACGGTTATTATGTGCACATATCTGCCTAGACGGCCACATATCCATGGCGACATTCACAGCTCTGTACGCGATCTTGTTGTGAGCTCGGCTGTGATGCGTCCAGCTGCCTATACCGAGTACATACGAAAACCGCCACACCGCTAGCCGGCGAAGAAGAAGGCGAGGATGATGCGGCCGTTGGTGCCGCCGCATCTGCTTAATAATTATGGCGCTGTCTCCCATTACATGCAGTGACGCTGTATGGTCTTTAATCGCTCGACAGAGCCCGTTGATGAGGCCCCAGTACTCTGCTGTGATTTTAGTCGTGTCAGCCTGAGCGTAGGACATGCTCGCTGCCCAGACTACTTCTGCTACTTGCGTGTCTGTGTCAACGCGCGCCAGAACCAAACCAGACCCACCTGTTCCTGGATTGCCCCGTGAGCCGCCGTCGAAACAGTATCGATAGAGGCTTTGACTGCAGTCTGATCTCTGGTGAATAATCGGCTCAGGCTGCCCAATCAGGCTCTCAGCCAGCGCGCCTGTCACGGCTCGCTTTGAAACAGCTTGTACTCTTGAATCGTACTCGTTTGCCGGAAACTGAAAGTCGCGCAATGCATTGTCGACCGAAGCATTGACTATAGCCTGCAAGGTGGACGCATCCAGTTTGTAGCAAAGCCGTAGGCGGGGGAACCAATTGTAATGGATCGTCATCGCTGCCGTTAATAGCCATAGAGAGCTGGGTACATGAAACGAGACGTCACATTGTTCATTACCAGTCGCATCTGACGATTGCATACCTCCTGTCACGAACAAGGCGGTGTATCGACAAAGACCAAGCTAAAGCACGATTCGATAAGAACTTCCGGCACGTTGCCCCCTAGCCGCCACCATTGGGGACCAAAGTCAGCCCACGTCACCTTTGCACCGGGCACTTGTCCAACCAGGACGGACCCGAGCTCGTGATACGTATAGACACCAGTCGTGCATCGAGATGACGAATAATCCTGTTAATTACGGCCGCGTCAAGCATATTGATATCAAGTACTATCACATCCGTGATGAGGTCATGCGCGGCATAGTGAAGCTCGAGTACTGCGAGACTACGGTGATGTAAGCGGACACCATGAAGAAGGGGCTTCAAGGACCACGCCACAAGAAACGACTACAGCACTAGGAATTCATGCGTGTTCGTATTGAGGGGGCGTGTTGACGGTAATTGGTTTTCTACCATAATTGGTAATCATGACCAGTTCAATCTGAACCGCCTGCTCAAATCAGTATTTACGACGTAGTTCTTACGGTTGTTACCATAGTTGATGAGGCGCGTAGGATGATGATAAACTTCACATGATTTATATGTACACCACATCTAGATCATGTAGCAAGCCCCGATAATCAATCACTTTCGAATCTTCCAACTAGTGAGCAAGTGTATTCCGCTCTACTCCCTTCGGTCTCTCCGCTCTTTTGCCCTCGCCCTCCTTTTACAATGCAACACACTTCATTTTTCGATTGCACATGAAGTCGAGGGTATGTCAGATGTGGTGAACGAGCCTTAAACTCCCTCACCTACTGGTGGGAAGCGCGTTTAAGCCGCAGACTTACTCTCAGTTCGACACCCGAAAACGTCAACGTCGTACGGGCGATCACGCCGAAGCAGCACATTTAGCTCCCATGGGTATTCAGAATTAGAATAAACTTACCTTTTCATCAGATACTGTTATTGACTTTGTGATGGCGCTGCTTCAGGAGCTTTTCCACGTGGAACTGCGTGTTTTTTTTGCTCGTCAAGCAACACCAGCTACTGCCAGTGCATCGATTCCGGCCCATGAATAGTTAGCGTCTGCGATAACGTGCCTCCGCGAGTCTCTCGCTCGCATTCGGATGGGGTCGCTTTGATATTGATGGGCATCAATTACGGGAGATCCTCGATCAAGTGCATATGCGCTCATGAGTGGTCGTCGCCTGCCATTTATTAGTTTCGTGAGCAGGTAACCGGCTTCGTTTTGATAAACTCGCGACAAAAGAATATTGACATGGATTCATCTGTCTTGGAGGAGCCGTCCTCCAGGTGGGCTCTAGACGAAGATTCCACTAATCTAAAGGAAGTCCTTCTTCCATGCGCAATCACCTCCTGATCCACGAGAAATGGGTTATGATATTGATAAATCAAGCCAACGTAATACAAGGGGTGTTTGCACATTTGCGAGAAAGATCAGCGTACAGGAAAAAAATCGCTATGACCGTAACACGGCTTAACGTAGCGTGGACGCAACATTGCTTTAAATACGGTAGGCAATACATTTGTAAGTATGTTTTCATTGTTTAGTAAGACTTTATACTTAGTCGCATAAGAATTAATGCATCTTCTGCCTTTAGCATAAGCTTGTGCTTTTTGTTTATCTTGTACATCAGCCAGTGTACACGTATATGGCACAATACACTAAGACGCATCACAAGAAATTCGCTCACCTGTTGATGCGTAGTGTCAGGGATGATATCAGCAAGGTTTCCGGCGAACTCTCCCCCACCGAGACCAGATCCACGCGGTAGTAAGGTAAGCAGAATGCGCAGGTTTGTCAGGGTAATCACATATAATATAGTAACGCTGGTAAAGGCATGTGTCGATTAATTGACCACAAACTCAACAACAGGGAGTATCAAGCTCCTAGGCTCAGGCGATATAGCACAGAGCTGTAATAAATATAGCCGACGACGCGATTGACGATTTCAGTTTGACAATCGGTATGATGATGGTCCACGGTAGTTATGTTTAATTCTAAGCCAAGCACCTTGAATTTGGATCTTTAGAACTTTCCAGTGAAGCGAGGAACTCGATACGATATAATTTCCATGCACGTGCTAGTGAATCTCATCACCTATACAAAAGCTTAGGTGTACCTAAACCATGGATAGAGCCTGACATAAGCCATCGTGCTTAAAAGGTCAACAAAGAAAACAGTTCCGGTATTGCCGTGACTGTCTTTGTTAATACCACACACAAAGTCCATGCCATGCTGATGAACTCTCAGCATCTAGTAAGTACAGTTAGAAATAAAGTGGCACAGCCAATTGTGCCGAGGGTTCAAGAAGCTGGTACGTTTCTCATGTGCGCACGTAATAGGTATTCCATTTGTAAAGTTATATCCACCAGTATGGTTGACTTACTGAGTCGTGAGTCTTTCCCGGTTAAAAGGACCATTGAGAGCAGTATCATGTGCCTTAAAGAGGATATCATACCTAATTTTTCATCTTGATGCACTACGACGCGATGGGTATCGTTTATGTCTTTGCAATAGCAAAAAAGTCCACGATCGATGAAATATCGATGTCACCTGGCAATTATCCGTGCCGACAGAGATTCATTCGAGTCAGCATACAAGTCGCTTCCAAGGGCATGTGTGGTATAGTACTTAGTTGTATCTGTAATACAATAGTATTGATGTACAAATACAACAATCGCCGAGCTCAGTCGGCAACAAGGGCTGGTATGTGAGGGATATCCCCTCGATTGTGGCTCTCGCTCACCGAATCCTCACAACCAATTCCTCTAGAAGTCTACCTGAGCTCAGCAGCTACTAAACCTGTCACTTTCTTTGACTTAAAATCAAGGATGGAAGCCGACGCTCACGTGTTTTTACAGGTCACCGGGCGCAGTGTCCGCCCGGCCATTAAATTTACGATGCCCTCGGCTGAGGCCCACCGGCTTGTCACTCGATATGACTTTCAATGGTGCCGTCTACTGAGTCACACCGGCCAATCACGTGACAAGACTCGAAGAGCGACGGCTACTACTTCACTGGATCGCCGTCGGCGAGACTCTTTCTGTCGCTGGTAGCGATTGTTACTTAACTCGGGCCTTCCTAATTGATTAATGCAACCCGTCGACACCTCTACTCGCTATGCCTCTCGAGGTTCAAATTCAGGCATTATCTAGCCCGCGCAAGAACTTACCTCTAAGTGTACACGTTGATTAAAGTTATAAAAATTTCTCTCTGCCTTGTTTTATGTCTTTTGCTATCGCTGAACCGTTAAGTGGTCCTCTGTCCTTCTCTTCTTTCTTCATACGTAAAATAAATGTAATGGATATTGTTCAGAATTCCCCACTGCTGCCTTTAAAAAAGATTGGGCCGTGTCTCATTCCAATGTGGCTGATCATTCTTTCGAACCTGCTAAAGATAAAAGGCTTGGTAGTCTATTAAACAACCAACCATCAATAATCTTGCGCAAACTCATCTTTTAGCGTTAAAACCTTTCTTTTATTTATTCAGCATTTTTTAGAAAAATTAAATTATTTTGAATTAAGAGGTGGATAAAGCTATCTTTAAAGATAAAAATTAATCATTATAGAATTGAATTGTAGAAAAATTAAGTTTTACAGTTCATTTCTACAATAATTAAGTTTTATTTCATTGCAATTAAACGCTAAATCTTGTATTCCGAACAAAAACGCTGGTTTTTTAGTTACAATAATTTTATTGCTTTTTTTGTATTTTTTATTTGTATGGTTGATATCTGTAATTAATAATGCTATTAACAATTTTATACTTATTGCTTTAAATACCCTAAAATTTGTTTCAAATTTAATATTTAAACTAAATTAATTTTATTTAGACATTTTAATGTAAAGCAATTTTAAGTGTTCAAGTTAATTGTGATTGACACTTACGACCTGGTGTTTGGGGTTCACCAGAACTGTGACCCACCCGCAGTTACGTCCCCCATAACCACGCAATCGTTTACATTCTGCATATGACACAGCAGGGTTTTACGATAGGTATTGACGAGACGTTATTACCCAGTCATAAATAAAACAGAAAGCGGTGGAGACAGGGCACGAAAAGAGTGGCTGAGATTCATTCGTGGATTCTATCCCACTTAAGACTACGCTCCTCCAATTCGACGACTTCCAATTCGACGACAAGAATTCGACAACACGTTAAGATCGCTGACCGCCGGTCCATCGACGATTCAAGTACATTGCAAATTTCTCCGATAAATTCCTACATTACACATGAAACAATGCCACACATTGAATATCTTGGGCTATTTCCACACAAATCAAAGCTTTAATTGGAGAATACAAAGTCGTCTCATAAGCAAGTTCATAATCGAGTCGGCGAGGTAGGGCATCCGTAGCTAATCTTTTTTCCCGTCACATTGAAGTTATATTCCGCGGCGGAGTAAATCCAAGTTCTATGAGAGAGGTGAGGCGACTGTGTCGCCGTGCGTAATGACGCATGATCCGTATAAACTACGAATGCTTGAAGCCAAGTAGATGAACTCTAAATTTGACGAGAGCATTCTTCATGGCAGAATATTCTTTTTTGTAACTAGACAGCCTTGTGAGTAGATTTCAGCTGACGAGATTGAAACGCGACAACACGCTCGCGACCTTCAGCATCTATTTGCAAAAGGGTGTTGTTTTGGCGAAGTCATATGCGTCACAGACGACACTTTTAAGAATACTTTGGATGATGTAGCACTAAATTGAGAGCATGGGGGAATCATCTTATTTGCTCAAAAAGCGTTAGCATAGATGATATCCTATCCCCATAATTTGTCTTTCGTATGGAGATTGGATCATGGTCTATCCACATCAACGTTATTTTCACTGCATTGGCAAGAATAAACCACTTACGTAAGTTGTTTTGATTCTCATAGATTGTCTGGTCAGCAAGAGCGTTGAAATTAGCGGGATCAGCTTTAAGGCCGCGCTTTCCGATGGAAAATACTAAAATATGAAATTGCTCTGCAACAAAGATGCAGATGTACGCATTGGCATACAAATTTTCCCGCGCTTGCACGCATAAGTACTGCTCGCATACTACGATGGTTTTTTAAACATCTGCATGAAGATTTTTTGCACAACGATGGACACCTATGTTATCATAGTAAATCAGCGCAAAAGCTAGAAGAAGTGGAAAAGTTGATCATCAGACAGTAAATGTAGCCGGCGCGTTGGGCAGTCCTTGGAACATAACCATCTATTCTCACGGTACTTTACTTCAAAAAGCCCACTTCTTTAAGCAGAACATCCCTCGTGGCATAACAGTTGATAGTGTCCATCGCCTAAGTCGATAGCAGTGTACATCGTACAGCCAATCATGTTGTGTTGTAAATCGTTCTTTCGAGAGATTAGTGTCTGTGGTGGTATATACCACATCAAGCTTGTTTCAAACCTACACAATGCGCCGTTTGGCTTTTTGACACATTATGTCAGCGTAGAATGTGGAGATTTACTCTCGAGTATCAACCTTGCCTCGAGCTTGGCCTGAAATAAGTCATCAATTACGTCGCAACGTTCTTTTTGTCAGGACTACCGTCAAGCGGCACAATATTTGGTTACGAGTCAACTTCATGCCGTAAATCCCAATATGAAGGTAAAAAAGAGGGTGGATTGTGGTACAAAACATCTTTAAATTTATCGAGCAAAAGATAAAAAGGGTCGAAAGAATTCTTCACTATGATCCACTACACGGGCTTAGTGCCAATTTTGTGTCCTCTTTGTAAGCTCGTCCAGAAGCGAAGATTATTTTAACTCAACGTTATCGGGTCGAATAAGCACAACCTCTAAAAATACGCAAATTTATGAATGACTGAACTCGTCTAAGGACAGAACTATGCGTTGAGCAGAGTAACAAGCGTAGGCATAGCTTAAGAGTTAAACTTATCAGCAGAGAAACTAGTCATTTAAACGGCGAGTGTATACAAATGAACATCATGTAGTATATTTGTGGTGTAAAATGCAATTTGTGGATCACAGTAGCCATTGAAAGGGGTTACAATGTTTTAAAAAGGTCAAGATGTCCATATGTTCAAGATTGATATCATCATCAGTATAATATTGCTTTAACTATAGCCGATGTAATTACCGACCTCCGTTGACAAGTGACCAGACTCGATACGTGGATGACGAACCACTTCACGGGCACTTGCTGACACAAGCTTTTAGAATGTCTTAATATATCGACACCAGCTCGTCGCTATTAAAGCCAACGTCACTCAAAAGCAGGTTCTTGCTCATACTTGGAACATGTAACGCGTTCTTGATCTCGATCTCGCGCTCTTCGCCGTTGGTCAGAACCACATTTTCCATGATGGTTCCAACACCCTTGATGGCCACTTTGTTGCCATCAGCCACCAATAGTTCGCCCTCATTGCGCTCTACCAAACTTGCAAACTTGGTCTTGTCGTGGCAAATGTGGTGCGTTGCACCACGATGGACGGCCCAAATTCCAGACACGTCCTTGCTCGTCGAAACTCCACATCCGAGCGAGACTGCAAACGCCACTCGATCGTAGCCATTGCCTTCATCATTATGTCCCACTGGACATCGTTTGCTTCGCGTCCACAGGCATTGCCGCCGCGTTGGGCTCCTCAACCTTCACTATTTTGCTTCGCCCAACAATACTCTGCTGTGTGTCCCATCTTGTCACAATACGTGCATTGGTAGCGCTAACGCTCGGCGCTGAATGCCTTGCTTGCATCTTCAGCCTTCACCGTAGTCGTTGTTGCTGTCCTTTTTTTCTCCTTGGCTCTTGGCGTGCTCATTCGTCAGCACTCTCACCACATCTTGGTTACGAAGCTCGGCGCTGCTCATTTCCATGTTGAGCACCACATTTTCGTAGCTCTTTGGAAGACTAAGCAGCAGACAGATTGCAACGTCTTCTTCTTCCATCTTCGCACCGATGCCGCTAAGCTTAGCGGAGACGTTGAGGACCTCGTTGCAGTGGTGCATGACGTTCGCGCCTTCATCCATCTTGGTGCTGAAAAGTTGTCGCTTTGAAAAGGTGCGTCCTGCCTTCTGCGATCCACCGTACAGCATCTTCAGACGTGTCCACGCAACCCACGCTTCCTCGCAGCTGTCAAGCACACGGTGGTAGTCCGCATTTATGTGTAGCAGCATCATACCAAACGCGACGTTGCTCGTCTTAATGTAGTCATCGGACGCTCGCGGGTCGGCGAAAGTCGGAGTCACTTCACGGTTTGCGACGCACCATACGGACTTCGTCAAAAAACACCGCGCATGTATCGACTCCAAATCGCACAGTTGTCTCCATTGAACTTATCAATAGAGACGTTGGATGATGCGTTGGTGGTGGACGACATGGCGCTTGGGCTCATAATCTGTTGCATGGAAGAGAGAGGAGCAAAGGGAGCGGAGAGGCTGAAGAGAGTAGAGAAGAAGACACTTCCTCACTAGTTCGAAGATTCGAAAGCGATTGATTATCGGGGATTACTACATGATTTAGATGTGCTGCACATCTAGATCATGTGAAGCGTCTCAGCATCCTACGCGTCTAATCAACTATGGTATTTAACATAAGAACTGCGTCGTAAATACTAAGCTGAGCAGGCGGTTCGGATTGAACTGGTCACGATTAGCATGACTGGTAGGAAACGGATGACCGTCAACACGCCCTCTCAATCCGAATGCGAACAGATGCCTAGCGGCGGCTTTAAGCCCTTGTGGCGCGGTCCGTGGAGTCCCTTGGTCATACTGTCTGCCAACCTCACCGTCGTCTCGCAGTATTCAAGCTTCACTTCACCGCGCTTGACTTCATCGCGAATGTGATGGTACTGGATATTAATGTGTTTGGCGCGGCCGTGGTTGACCGGATTCTTGGTCATTTTGATGCAGGACTGGTTGTCTTCGCGGATCATGAGCTCGGGTCCGTCCTCGTTAGCAGCCGCCATGATCTCGCATAGTAAGCGGTGGATCCACTTAACTTCTTGAACCGCCAGACTTAGCGCAATGTACTCCGCTTCACTTGTAGACAGTGACACACTTGGCTGCTTCTTGCTGCCCCAACTCACTGGAGCACCCAATAGCATAAAAACGTAGCTAGACGTTGACTTGCGATCAGTGAGGTCGCCGGCCCAGTCTGCGTCCGAATAGCCACGAAAGTCGATCCTTGCACGTGGCTGTAGCAAATTCCATGCATCTTAGTGCCTTGTAGGTAGCGAAAGATGCGCTTTACCGCAACCCAGTGTTCTTCTTGGAGATTATTCATGAAGCGCGACACAAAGCTCACAGCATAGGCGATGTCCGGTCGTGTTGCAGTCGTCAGATGCATCAAAGCACGAACAGCTTCGAAGAATGGAACATCGATCTTGCTCGTAGCGTTGCTCGACATCAGTCGAGAGCTGACATCCACAGGACTCGCCACAGCCTTGCACTCCTCCATTCCAAAGCGCTTGAGGATATCATCCTCAGACATAACGGCGCTGACACATAGTCACACTGCCATCTTCACAGTCCAAAAGCTCGATCCCAAGAACAAATGCACATTTGCCGCTGTCTGTCATCTCGAAACGTGTCTTCAGGTCGTTCTTGGTTCGTGTAATTAGCTCGAGCGAGCTTCCAGTCACCAAGACGTCGTCCACGTAGACCAGTACAAATACACAATGGCCGACCGAAGTCTTGATCTCGAGACATGGGTAGAAGTCCGATACTTGAATTCCAATGGAGCACACAAACTCGTCGAACGCCTCGTTCCACACTCGCGACGCTTGTTTGAGGCCAAAATTGACCTCACCAATTCCAGGCAATCGAACGTACTATCAAGTTCAACGCCTTCAGGAATCACGCAGAACAGTTGCTCCTTCATGACGCCATACAGGAAAGCCGTCATCACATCAGGCTGGTCGATGGGCCATCTAAAGTGCTTGGAAATTGCGATCTCCATTCGCAGCGTCACATACTTGACCACGGATAAAAATGTCTCCGTGTAGTCGATGCCATATTTTTGGCGGAAACCCTTGGCCACAAGCCGTGCCTAGCACTTCTCGATCTACCCATCCGCCTTGCGCTTGATCTCAAACACCCACTTTGTGCCAATGGCGCGTTGTCCGTTGGGCAGATTGGCTGCACGAAACACACCTCGAAGGCGCATCGACTCGAGTTCTGCACGAATAGCATTTGCCAGTGCACTTGGTCAGGGCCGCTCACTGCCGCCTCAAATGTGTAGGGCTCCGATAAGTCTGCTGCTGTTTCAACGACATTCGCACTCGCATGCCAAAACACAGGCGGACTTGATTCATCAGAATCCTTCCTTTCTTCGTCTTCTTCTTGGCGTGACGAGTTGTTTTCTAGCGCGCTTGACTCTTCTAGTCCAGGTCGTTGACGCACTACACGTGGCCGTGGAGCTGCTGTATCTTTATCTCTGAGGCGGTTTTTGCGCTTGCCTGTTTGCTTGTACTCCACCTGACGCGGCTCTTCATCATTGAGGTCAAGCAATTCGAAGTCCAGGTCATCGGCATCTTCATCAGTGATCGGCGGCGGAAGTCCAAAGGTGGACTCGTCAAAGTTGACATCGCGACTGATAACCACCTGCCCCGCCTCGATGTCATAAACTCGATACGCCTTCGACACTTCTTCGCATCCCACGAATATGCCAGTGCGAGACTTTGGATCCCACTTAAGCCGATTCTCCTTTGGCGTCAGTTTGTACGTCTGGCACCCGAATGCTTGCATGTGCTTGACGCTTGGCGTCGAGTTGTAGACGATCTCAAACATATTCTTTAGTACGACTTTAGGTGACGGCAGTCGATTCTTGACGTATATGGCCGTCATCGCTGCTTCAGCCCAGAAACAATTGTCTAGTTTGGCATGATGAAGCATGCTGCGGCCGATCGTAAGGATAGTCCTAATGGCACGCTCTGCTGTAAGCTTTGTGTCACGGTTCATGGAGAAACCCCAAGAAGAACACAGGGTTGCAGTCAAGCGCATCTTCCGCTACCTACAAGGTACCAAGATGCATGGAATCTGCTACAAGCCAAGTGCGAAGATCGACTTTCGTGGCTATTCAGATGCAGACTGGGCCGGTGACCTTGCTGATCGCAAATCGACGTCCGGCTACGTCTTCATGCTATTGGGTGCTCCGGTGAGTTGGGGCAGCAAGAAACAGCCAAGTGTGTCACTGTCTACAAGCGAAGCGGAGTACATCGCGCTCAGCTTGGCGATCCAAGAAGGCAAGTGGATCAATCGCTTGCTGTGCGAGATCATGGCGGCTGCAAACGAAGAAGGACCCGAGCTCGTCATCCGTGAAGACAACCAGTCGTGCATCAAGATGACGAAGAATCCGGTCAACCACGGCCGCGCTAAACACATCGACATCAAGTACCATCACATCCGTGATGAAGTCAAGCGCGGCGAAGTGAAGCTTGAATACTGCGAGACGACGTTGATGTTGGCGGACATCATGACGAAGGGACTTCACGTACCGCGTCACAAGGACTTGACGGCGGCGCTTGGCATCCGTGCGTGTTCGGATTGAGGGGGCGTATTGAGGGTTACCGGTACAATCCGAACCTAGCGCGTAGTTCTTACGAGATAGTTTTTACATCGGTAATTACCTCAGAGATGATTAGACGCGTAGGATGATTGGACGCGTGTAAATCAGGTTGATTAGATGCACCATGTGATTGGATGCAGTATAGGGTAGGCAGAAGTTAAGACCTATAAATCAATCACTTTCGAATCCTCCCTCAAGTGAGCAAGTGTTCTCTGCTTCGTTCCCTCCGGTCTCTCCGCTTCGTTTTCTCTTCGCCTCGCGCTCAAGTTACAACAGATCTCTTTTCCTTAGGGGTCAGCACAAACGTTCGGCAGCCGAAAACCCGCATGTGCTTCACACTTGGTCGAAATCCGTTGACGATCTCGAACGGGGTTTGATCTTGGCACTTGGGCGATGGTAGGCGATTCTTGATGTAGATTGCCGTCATTGCTGCTTCAGCCCAAAAACACTTGTCCAGCTTGGCGTAGTGAAGCATGCTGTGCCCGATCGTCACAATGGTCCAAATTGCCCGTTTCGCCGTGCCGTTGGTCTGATGCGCATACGGAACGGTAACTTGCTGCTCGATTCCTTGATCATCGTAAAATGCCTTGAGCGAATTCGCCGCAAATTCTCGTGCACCATCGTGTCGAACGAACTTGACCTTGTAGTCAAACTGCGTCTGTACTGCCATGATGTACTTCTTGATGCACTCTTCGCTGTCGGACTTGGCGCGCAGACTGAAACCCTTCATACATCCGCTGCCTTCATCGACGATCAGTAGCAAGTGCTTGCTTCCACCTAGCGAGTCGACTTCCATTGGACCACAAGTGTCGATGTGTAGAAGCTCAAACGGATCGTAGTGGCGCTTGTCTGGATTTCTCGGGAACGGTCGTTGAACCATTTTTCCTTCTAGACAACCTTGACACACGCTTGATCCGCTCAATTTTGCTGGCTTCTTGGCATCCTTGATCATGCCTTTGGAGACCATTCTGCACAAGACATCAATCGGTGCGTGGCCCATACGCGCATGAAGGTTTTCGACTCTTGGTCCTGAAGCCGCATTCACCGATCGTTGGGATGTACGAAGCCAGTAGAGGCCATCCACAAGATCGGCCATCGCTATTACTTGCTTGGAGCCTTTGTGCGAAATCTTCATCTCGTCACCATCAAACACCACTTGAAACTTGCCGCTTTTGTTGATTTGTGGTATCGAAAGCAAGTTTTTGTTCATGCTTGGGACGTAAAGCGCGTTCTTGATCTCGACTTCGCGCTCTTCACCGTTGGACAGGGTCACCTTTTCGATGATTGTCCCGACACCGTTGATCGCAGCCTTGTTCCCATCTGCAACCAACACTTCGCCTTTATTGCGCTCGTCCAGAAATTCGAACTTGGACTTGTCATAGCAGATGTGATGTGTTGCACCGCTATCAATCGCCCACATTCCAGACATGCTCTTGGTCGTTGAAAGTCCGCATTCCAGCGAAACAGCAAACGCCACTCGATCATAGTCACAGTTGCTTTTGCCGTTGTAGCCTTGCCACTGAACTTGATTCGCTCCGCGTCCACGTGCATTGCCGCCGCGTCGAGCTCCCCGATTGTCTTCCTTCTGCTTGGTCCAGCACTTTTCCACCGTGTGCCCCAATTTTCCGCAGAGCGTACACTGACGAACCTCACGCTCGTTACTGAAGGCCTTGGTCGCTTCTTCAGTTTTCACCGATGTCGTCTTTTTCCCTTGTCTCTTGATGTGCTCATTCGTCAGCACTTTCACGACGTCTTGCGTCCGCAGTTCCGCGCTGCTCATCTCCAAGTTCAGCACGACGTTCTCGTAGCTCTTGGGGAGGCTGCACGACAAGCAGATCGCCACGTCCTCATCCTCCATCTTGGCGCCGATGCTGCTGAGCTTGGCGCTGATGTTGAGAACTTCATTGCAATGATGCATCACATTGCCGCCTTCCGCCATCTCCATGCTGAACAGCTGCCGCTTCAAGAAGATCCGTCCCGCCTTCTGCGATCCGCCGTAGAGAGTCTTCAACCGTGTCCACGCAACCCATGCCTCGTCGCAGTCATCAACCACGTGATGATAATCCGCGCTCATGTGAAGTAACATCAAGCCGAACGCAATGTTGTTCGTCTTGACGTACTCATCACTGGCGCGAGGATCGGCGAAGGTGGAGGTGGTCTCCCGGTTGACCACGTCGACTTGGTCAGGAACACGCCACGCATGTAGCGGCTCCACGTCGCGTAGTTGTCTCCATCGAATCTATCGATAGAGATCTTGGTGGCGGAATCTTGAGCAGAGGACATCGTGCTTGGGCTCATAACCTGTTAAAGTCTGAAGAGCACTGGACGAGAGAACGAAGCTTGAAGAACGCTGAAGAAGTCTGCACTGCGAAGTGTAGACGACTTGTGCTGAAGAAGGAATATTTGGAAGTGAATTTATTTGTGGGTTTTGTTAAAGCTACCTGATTTATCTCTGCACTGATTTATATGTTGTCCACATATAAATCATGAATCATAAATCACGTAGGTCATCCAATCATCCTATGCGTCTAATCATTGGTAAAAACTCACCGTAATTACGCGGGATCGACTTGGACAGGTTTACAATTCCCATGGTAGCTGATAGCAGTACCTCAACCGTCAACCCACAATACACATCAAACAAACGGAACAGCAGAGCGTGCCATTTGGACTATCCTTACGATCGGCCGCAGCATGCTTCATCATGCCAAACTAGACAATTGTTTCTGGGCCGAAGCAGCGATGACGGCCATCTACGTCAAGAATCGACTGCCGTCACCTAAAGTCGTGCACAAGACCCCGTTTGAGATCGTCTACAACTTGAAACCAAGTGTCAAGCACATGCGCGTGTTTAAATGTCGGGCGTTTATCCTGACACCAAGGGAGAAGCGATTGAAGTGGGACCCGAAGGCTCGTGAAGGGATGTTCATGGGCTACGAAGAAGCGTCAAAAGCTTATCGATTGTACGACATTGAGGCGGACCAAGTGGTGATCAGTCGTGACATCACCTTCGACGAATCGACTTTTGATTTTTCATTGGACCGACCAAGTGACGATTATGAAGATGCGGAGTTGGACCTCGACCTCCTAGCGATCAACGAGGACGACGTGCGTCAAACCGTCTACAAGAAGACTGGCAAGCGCAAGAGTGAAGCAAGACCCGGCATGTCACGTTCAGCTCGCCCTCGAACTGGGTTGGAACAAGCAAGTGCGCCGGCACACGTCTCCAACCGTCACCAGAAACGACGATCAAGTGCTCCAGAAAAGATGTCTGATGACGAAGAAGATGCAAGCGTCTACGATCAAGATGACGACTCGACGCCTTCAACATTTTGGCGTGCAAGTGCAAACGCAGTGGAAGCAACGGACCTAGCAGAACCTGTGACTTTTCAAGACGCGATCAATGGTCCTGATCAAGCTCACTGGCGAAATGCTGTGAAGGCGGAACTCAAGTCGATGCATCTTCGTGGAGTTTTCCGTGCGGCAAAACTACCAAGAGGCCAAGGCGCGATCGGCACCAAGTGGGTGTTCAAGATCAAGCGCAAAGCGGATGGATCGGTCGAGAAATACAAGGCGCGTCTCGTTGCCAAGGGCTTCAAGCAGAAGTACGACATCGACTACACAGAGACGTTCTCGCCCGTGGTCAAGTACGTGACACTGCGTATGGTGATCGCGATCACCAAGTATTTCGACTGGCCACTGGACCAACTCGATGTGGTGACAGCCTTTCTCTACGGAGTGATGAAGGAGAAGGTGTACTGTGTGATACCAGAAGGCGTCGAGATGGATGGCGACTTCGACTGTCTCGAGTTGGTGAAGGCGATCTACGGTCTCAAGCAAGCTTCACGTGTGTGGAACGAGACTTTCGACGAGTTCGTATGCTCTATCGGTTTCGAAGCGTCGGCGTTCGACCCATGTCTCTACATCAAGGTTGTCGACGGTCACTGTGTGCTTATGCTGGTCTACGTGGATGACGTGTTGGTCACCGGCAGCTCGCTCGAGTTGATTGCGCAGACGAAGGCCGACCTCAAGACGCGTCTCGAGATGACCGACAGTGGCAAGTGTACTTTTGTACTGGGCATCAAACTGGTGGACGAATCGGATGGCAGCGTGACGATGTGCCAGCGACGGTATGTCAACGACATCCTCAAGCGCTTCGGCATGGATGAGTGCAAGGCCACAGCAAGTCCGGTCGACTTGAGCACTCGGCTTGTCGCAAGCAGCGAAGCGGCCAAGATCGACGTTCCGTTTCGTGAAGCTGTGATGCTTTAATGCGCTTGACGACTGCGACGCGCCCGGACATTGCGCATGCTGTGGGGTACGTCTCGCGCTTCATGGAGAATCCGCAGCAAGAACATTGGACGACGGTAAAGCACATCTTTCGTTACTTGCAAGGGACCAAGTCGCACGGACTCCGCTTCCAGCCAAGCGACAAGATCGACTTTCGTGGCTACTCGGACGCGGACTGGGCCGGCGACCACGCTGATCGCAAGTCGACTTCGGGTTACACTTTCATGCTGATGGGTGCTCCTGTGAGTTGGGGAAGCAAGAAGCAGTCAAGTGTGTCGCTGTCGACGAGTGAAGCGGAATACATCGCACTGAGTCTGGCCATCCAGGAAGGCAAGTGGGTGTATCGCCTGCTATGCGAGATTTTGGCGGCCGCAAACGAACCAGGACCGGACCTCGTCATCCGTGAAGACAACCAGTCGTGCATCAAGATGACGAAGAATCCTGCGAATCATGGCCGCGCCAAGCAAATCGACATCAAGTACCATCACATCCGTGATGAGATCAAGCGCGGTGAAGTGCAGCTCGAGTATTGCGAGACTTCCGTGATGATGGCGGACATCATGACCAAGGGACTTTCGGGACCGCGTCACAAGGACTTGACGACGGCTCTCGGCATTCGTGCGAGTTCGGATTGAGGGGGCGTTTTGACGGTCATCGGTTTCTACCAGTATTGGTAACCGTGACCGGTCCAATCCGAACCGCCTGTTCAGCTTAGTATTTACGACGTAGTTCTTACGGTAATTACCATAGTTGATTAGACGCCTAGGATGATGAGACGCTTCACATGATTTATATGTGCACCACACATAAATCATGTAGTAAGTAGTAAGCCCTATTGAGGGTTACCGGTACAATCCGAACCTAGCGCGTAGTTCTTACGAGATAGTTTTTTACATCGGTAATTACCTCAGAGATGATTAGACGCGTAGGATGATTGGACGCGTGTAAATCAGGTTGATTAGATGCACCATGTGATTGGATGCAGTCTAGGGTAGGCAGAAGTTAAGACCTATAAATCAATCACTTTCGAATCCTCCCTCAAGTGAGCAAGTGTTCTCTGCTTCGTTCTCTCCGGTCTCTCCGCTTCGTTTTCTCTTCGCCTCGCGCTCAAGTTACAACAGGTTATGAGCCCAAGCGCCATGTCGTCCAACAACACCTCGGCCAGTGTCTCCATCGATAAGTTCGATGGAGACAACTACTCAACCTGGTGTCGCTACATGCGCGGCGTGTTTCTGACGAAGTCAGTCTGGTACGTCGTGAACCGCGAAACGTCTCCAACCTTCACCGACACGCGAGCTTCCGACGAGTACGTCAAGGCGAGCAACATCGCGTTCGGGTTGATGTTGCTCCACATGGACGCCGACTACCACCATGTGGTCGACAACTGTGAAGAAGCATGGACAGCGTGGTCGCGGTTGAAGATGCTCTATGGTGGGTCGCAGAAGGCGGGACGCATCTACCTCAAGCGCCAGCTGTTCAGCATCAAGATGGCGGAAGGTGCCAACGTCTTGCACCATTGCAACGAAGTCTTGAACATCGGCGCCAAGCTCAGCAGCATCGGTGCCAAGATGGAAGACGAAGACATTGCGATCTGCTTGCTGCTCAGTCTCCCGAAGAGTTTCGAGAACGTGGTTCTGAACTTGGAGATGAGCAATGCAGAGCTGCGCACGCAAGATGTGGTCAAGGTGCTGACTAACGAGCACATCAAGCGACAAGGCGAGAAGATGACAACGGCAACGACAACGGTGAAGACTGAAGATGCGACAAAGGCATTCAGTGCCGAGCGCAAGCCCTACCAATGCACATACTGCGGCAAGGTGGGGCACACGGCAGAGCGTTGCTGGACGAAGCAAAAGGATGAAAGTCGAGGAGCCCAACGCGGCGGCAATGGTCGTGGACGCGGGGCAAACAATGTCCAGTGGCGACATTATGATGAAGGCAACAGCTACGATCGAGTGGCGTTTGCAGTTTCGTTCGAATGCGGAGTTTCGACGAACAAGAATGGACCAGGAATGTGGGCCGTTGACAGCGGGGCAACACATCACATCTGCCACGACAAGTTCAAGTTTGCAAGTTTGGTCGAAGTCAATGATGGCGAGATCCTGGTGGCTGATGGCAACAAGGCGGCCATCAAAGGTGTAAGGACCATCGTGGAAAAGGTGATTCTGCCAAACGGGGAAGAGCGCGAGATCGAGATCAAGAACGCGCTCTATGTGCCCAGCATGAGCAAAAATCTGCTCTCGGTGCCGCAGATTAACAAGCACGGCAACTTCCAAGTGGTGTTTGACGGGGATACGATGTACGTCGCTCGCAAGGATTCCAATCAAGTGGTGGCAGCTGCGGATCTTGTAGACGGACTCTACTGGCTTCGCACGACGCAGCGATCGGCCAATGCGACATCACTCAGCAACGCTGTTGATCTACATGCGCGAATGGGCCATGCTCCAGTCGACGTGCTTCGCAGGATGGTGACAAGCCACATGATCAAGGACGCTCACATCCCTTCCAAGCCGAATGGATCAAGTGTGTGTCGAGGATGCCAAGAAGGGAAGATGGTCCGAAAACCATTCCCGAGCAACAGTGACAAGCGCACCTACAACACCTTCGAGATGCTCCACTTCGACATCTGCGGACCCATGGAAGAAAAATCTCTGGGTGGTAGCAAGTATCTGCTGCTGATCGTGGATGAAGCCAGCGGATGCATGAAGGGTTTTTGTCTGCATTCCAAGTCAGAGAGCGAAGAGTGCATCAAGAAGTACATCACGATGATACAGACGCAGTTCAACAAGAAGGTCAAATTTGTGCGACACGATGGAGCCCGCGAGTTTGCGACGAACTCGCTCCAAGATTTCTACGAAGTCGAAGGCATCGAGCAACAAACCACGGTGCCATACGCACATCAAGCCAATGGAACTGCTGAACGCGCGATTCGAACTATCGTCACCATCGGTCGTAGCATGCTCCATCATGCCAAGTTGGACAAGTGCTTCTGGGCTGAAGCGGCAATGACGGCCGTCTATGTGAAGAACCGTTTGCCGTCACCCAAGATTCCACACAAGACACCGTTCGAGATTGTCTACAATTCTAAGCCAAGTGTCAAGCACATGCGCGTGTTTTGGGTGCCAAGCATACATCTTGACCCCGAAGGAGAAACGACTCAAGTGGGATCCCAAGGCCCGGGCTGGATTGTTTTTGGGCTACGAAGAAGTGTCCAAGGCGTATCGAGTTTACGACATCGAAGCGGGGCAGGTGATGATAAGTCGCGATGTCAACTTCGATGAGTCGGCCTTTGGAATGTCGATGCTGATTTCCGATGACGATGTTGATGGCCTGGACTTCGAATCGATCGATCTTGATGATGAAGAACCGCGTCCGGGACACTTCAAACAAACAGGAAAGCGCAAGGCCCAACCCAGTCACGACAATGACGACGCAAGCATGCCCCGAGCAGTGCGCCAACGACCCGGATTGGAAGAGTCAAGTGCGCCGGATGACCTCTCTTCACGTCGAGCCAACGAAGATGAAGAAAGGAAGTCGAAGGAACAAGATGACACACCGACTTCCTCCGTGTTTTGGCATGCGAGTGCAAACGCCGTTCAAGCAGCGGTCGATTTTTCGGAGCCGTCGACATTTGAAGAAGCAGTGTCTGGCCCGGACCAAGTACACTGGCGCAAGGCAATTGATGCGGAGCTCGATTCGATGAAGCTTCGCGGTGTCTTTCGTGCGGCCAAGTTACCCAACGGACAACGCGCCATTGGCACAAAGTGGGTCTTCAAGATCAAGCGCAAGGCGGATGGGTCGATCGAGAAGTACAAGGCACGACTTGTGGCCAAGGGTTTCCGCCAAAAGTATGGCATCGACTACACGGAGACGTTCTCGCCTGTGGTCAAGTATGTGACGCTGCGAATGGTCATCGCCATTACCAAGCACTTTGGATGGCCCCTCGACCAGCTCGATGTGGTGACTGCGTTCCTGTTAGGAGTGATGAAGAAGAAGGTGTTCTGCGCTGTTCCGGAAGGCGTCAAGATGGAAGGTGATTTCGACTGTCTCGAGCTGATCAAGGCGATCTACGGTCTCAAGCAAGCCTCGCGTGCTTGGAACGAGACCTTCGACGAGTTCATACGCTCGATTGGTTTTCAAGCGTCGGACTTCGATCCATGTCTCTACATCATGACTTCGGAAGGCCATTGTGTTTTTGTGCTGGTCTACGTGGACGATGTCTTGGTGACTGGAAGCTCGCTCGAGATGATTGCGCGCACCAAGAACGACCTCAAGACACGCTTCGAGATGACGGACAGCGGCAAGTGTGCCTTTGTTCTTGGGATCGAGTTATTGGACGGTGAAGATGGCAGCGTGACTATGTGTCAGCGCCGTTATGTCGACGATGTCCTCAAGCGCTTTGGAATGGATGAGTGCAAGGCTGTGGCAAGTCCGATGGACGTCAGCTCTCGACTGGTTCCAAGCAACTCTGCAAGCAAGGTGGATGTCCCATTCCGTGAAGCAGTGGGTGCTTTGATGCATCTGAAGACTGCAACGCGACCGGACATCGCCTATGCTGTAAGCTTTGTGTCACGGTTCATGGAGAAACCCCAAGAAGAACACTGGGTTGCAGTCAAGCGCATCTTCCGCTACCTACAAGGCACCAAGATGCATGGAATCTGCTACAAGCCAAGTGCGAAGATCGACTTTCGTGGCTATTCAGATGCAGACTGGGCCGGTGACCTTGCTGATCGCAAATCGACGTCCGGCTACGTCTTCATGCTATTGGGTGCTCCGGTGAGTTGGGGCAGCAAGAAACAGCCAAGTGTGTCACTGTCTACAAGCGAAGCGGAGTACATCGCGCTCAGCCTGGCGATCCAAGAAGGCAAGTGGATCAATCGCTTGCTGTGCGAGATCATGGCGGCTGCAAACGAAGAAGGACCCGAGCTCGTCATCCGTGAAGACAACCAGTCGTGCATCAAGGTGACGAAGAATCCGGTCAACCACGGCCGCGCTAAACACATCGACATCAAGTACCATCACATCCGTGATGAAGTCAAGCGCGGCGAAGTGAAGCTTGAATACTGCGAGACGACGTTGATGTTGGCGGACATCATGACGAAGGGACTTCACGTACCGCGTCACAAGGACTTGACGGGGCGGCGCTTGGCATCCGTGCGTGTTCGGATTGAGGGGGCGTATTGAGGGTAGTTACCGGTACAATCCGAACCGCCTAGCGCGTAGTTTTTACGACGTAGTTCTTTAATCGATTAAATACCCATAGGATGATTAGACGCGTGTAAATCAGGTTGATTAGATGCACCATGTGATTGGATGCAGTATAGGGTAGGCAGAAGTTAAGACCTATAAATCAATCACTTTCGAATCCTCCCTCAAGTGAGCAAGTGTTCTCTGCTTCGTTCTCTCCGGTCTCTCCGCTTCGTTTTCTCTTCGCCTCGCGCTCAAGTTACAACAATCCCCGATAATCAATCACTTTCCAATCTTCCATCTACCCCCAAGTGTCTTCTCCGGTCTTCCGAGTGGACTCCCAGCATCACTCCCAGTTTCGGTCGTCAAGCTTTACACCTATCAACAGATACATGCGCGGTGTTTTTGACGACGAAGTCCGTATGGTGCATCGTAAACCGTGAAGCGACCTTGACTTTCACTGACTCGCGAGCTTCCGATGACTACATTAAGACGAGCAACGTCGCGTTTGGGATGATGCTGCTACACATAAATGCGGACTACCACCGTGTGCTTGACAGCTGCGAGGAAGCGTGGGTTGCGTGGACACGTCTGAAGATGCTGTACGGTGGATCGCAGAAGGCAGGACGCACCTTTCTCAAGCGGCAACTTTTCAGCACCAAGATGGATGATGGCGCGAACGTCATGCACCACTGCAACGAGGTCATCAACGTCTCCGCTAAGCTTAGCGGCATCGGTGCGAAGATGGAAGAAGAAGACGTTGCAATCTGTCTGCTGCTTAGTCTTTTAAAGAGCTAGAACGTAAAAAAAATGTGGTGCTCAACATGGAAATGAGCAGCGCCGAGCTTCGTAACCAAGATGTGGTGAGAGTGCTGACGAATGAGCACGCCAAGAGTCAAGGAGAAAAAAGGACAGCAACAGCGACTACAGTGAAGGCTGAAGATGCAAGCAAGGCATTCAGCGCCGAGCGTTAGCGCTACCAATGCACGTATTGTGACAAGGTGGGACACACAGCAGAGTATTGTTGGGCGAAGCAAAATAGTGAAGGTTGAGGAGCCCAACGCGGTGGCAATGCCTGTGGACGCGAAGCAAACGATGTCCAGTGGGAAATAATGATGAAGGCAATGGCTACGATCGAGTGGCGTTTGCAGTCTCGGATGTGAAGTTTCGACAAGCAAAGACGTGTCTGGAATGTGGACCGTCTACAGTGGTGCAACGCACCACATTTGCCACGAAAAGACCAAGTTTGCAAGTTTGGCAGAGCGCAATGAGGGCGAACTCTTGGTGGCTGATGGCAACGAGGTGGCCATCAAGGGTGTTGGAACCATCATGGAAAAGGTGGTTCTGCCCAACGGTGAAGAGCGCGAGATCGAGATCAAGAACGCGTTACATGTTCCAAGTATGAGCAAGAACCTGCATGGGTGCCAAAGACTAACAGGCATGACATGTTCCAAGTCGTGTTTGACGGGTCCAAGATGTATGTGACTCTCAAGAACTCACAGCAAGTGTTGGCGACAGCGGATCTCGTGGATGGACTTTACTAGCTTCGTACGACTCAGCAATCAGCAAATGTGACACAAGTGAACACATTGTGATGGTCTACATGCGCGAATGGGTCACCCCGCTCCTGTCGACGTACTTCGCAAGATGATCACGGCCAACATGATCAAGGATGTGCGAGTCCCTCTCAACTTAGGTGGAGCAACTGCATGCCGCGGGTGTCAACAAGGTGAAAAAAGTCCAAAAACCATTCCCAAGCAACCGCGACAAGCGCAGCTATGATAGGTGTGAGCTGCTTCATCTGGACATCTGTGGGCCCATGGAAAACGATTCGCTCGGTGGTAGCAGATATCTGCTACTGATCGTAGACGAAGCCAGTGGAGTGGGTGCACGAAGGGCTTTTGTTTACGAGTGAAGTCCGAGAGTGAAGACTACGTCCGGAAGTACATCACTGTGGTTCAGACGCAGTTCAGTAAGAAGGTCAAGTTTGTGCGACACGACGGAGCTTGCGAGCTCGCAACCAACTCGCTTCAAATGTTCTACAAAGATGAAGGCATTAAACAGCAAACAACGGTGACATGTGCGCATCAAACCAACGGAACAGCAGAGTGTGCCATTTGGACTATCCTTACGATCGGCCGCAGCATGCTTCATCATGCCCAACTAGACAATTGTTTCTGGGCTGAAGCAGCGATGACGGCCATCTACGTCAAGAATCGACTGCCTTCACCTAAAGTCGTGCACAAGACCCCGTTTGAAATCGTCTACAACTCGAAACCAAGCGTCAAGCACATGCGAACATTCGGGTGTCAGACATACATACTGACGCCTAAAGAGAATCGACTCAAGTGGGATCCAAAGGCTCACACTGGCATATTCGTGGGCTACGAAGAAGTTTCGAAGGCATATCGTGTTTATGACATCGAGGCGGGACAGGTGGTTATAAGTCGCGATGTCAACTTCGACGAGTCCACCTTTGGACTTCCGTCGCCGATCACTGATGAAGATGCCGATGACCTGGACTTCGAGTTGCTTGACCTCAATGATGAAGAGCCGCGTCAGGTGGAGTACAAGCAAACAGGCAAGCGCAAAAATCGCCTCAGTGATGAAGATACAGCAGCTCCACCGCCACGTGCAGTGCGTCAACGACCTGGACTAGAAGAGTCAACCGCGCCGGAAAACAACTTGTCACGCCAAGAAGAAGACGAAGAAACGAAGGATTCTGGTGATTCAACACCGCCTGTGTTTTGGCTTGCGAGTACAAATGCCGTTGAAGCAGCAGTGGACTTATCAGAGCCCTAAACATTTGAAGCAGCCGTAAGCGGCCCTGACCAGGTGCACTGGAGAAAAGCAATTCATGCGGAACTCGAGTCGGTGCGACTTCGCGGTGTGTTTCGTGCAGCCAAGCTGCCCAACAGACAACGCGCCATTGGCACAAAATGGGTGTTCAAGATCAAGCGCAAGGCGGATGGGTCAATCGAGAAGTACAAGGCACGACTTGTGGCCAAGGGTTTCCGCCAAAAGTATGGCATCGACTACACGGAGACATTTTCGCCTGTGGTTAAGTATGTGACGCTGCGAATGGTGATCGCAATTTCCAAGCCCTTTGGACGGCCCATCGACCAGCTTGATGTGATGACGGCTTTCCTGTATGGCGTCATGAAGGAACAAGCGTTCTTCGTGATTCCTGGAGGTGTTGAACTTGTTAGTACGATCGATTGCCTGGAATTGATTAAGTCAATTGTGGCCTCAAGCAATCGTCGCGAGTGGAACGAGACGTTCGACGAGTATGTGTGCTCCATTGGATTTCAAGTATCGGACTTCTACCCATGTCTCGAGATCAAGACTTCGGACGGCCATTGCGTGTTTATACTGGTCTACGTGGACGACGTCTTGGTGACTGGAAGCTCGCTCGAGCTGATTGCACAAACCAAGAACGACCTGAAGACGCGGTTCGAGATGACGGACAGCGGCAAATGTGCATTTGTTCTTGGGATCGAGCTTTTGGACGGTGAAGATGGCAGTGTGACACTATGTCAGCGCCGGTATGTCGATGATATCCTCAAGCGCTTTGGCATGGAGGAGTCCAAGGCTGTGGCGAGTCCTGTGGATGTCAGCTCTCGACTGATGTCAAGCAACACTGCGAGCAAGATCGATGTTTAATTCCTCGAAGCCGTTCATGCTTTGATGCATCTGACGACTGCAACACGACCGGACATCGCCTATGCTGTGAGCTTTGTGTCGCGCTTCATGAAGAATCTCCAAGAAGAACACTGGGTTGCGGTAAAGCGCATCTTTCGCTACCTACAAGGCACTAAGATGCATGGAATTTGCTACAGCCACGTGCAAGGATCGACTTTTGTGGTTCTTCGGACGCAGACTGGGCCGGCGACCTCACTGATCGCTAGTCAACGGCTAGCTACGTTTTTATGCTATTGGGTGCTCCAGTGAGTTGGGGCAGCAAGAAGCATCCAAGTGTGTCACTGTCTACAAGTGAAGCCGAGTACATTGCGCTAAGTCTGGCGGTTCAAGAAGTTAAGTGGATACACCGCTTACTATGCGAGATCATGGCGGCTGCTAACGAGGACGGACCCGAGCTCATGATCCGCAAGACAACCAGTCCTGCATCAAAACGACCAAGAATCCGGTCAACCACGGCCGCGCTAAACACATTAATATCCAGAACCATCACATTCGCGATGAAGTCAAGCGCGGTGAAGTGAAGCTTGAATACTGCGAGACGACGGTGATGTTAACAGACAGTATTGTTGACGGTCATCGGTTTTCTACCAGTGTTGGTAACCGTGACCGGTCCAATCCGAACCGCCTGTTCAGCTTAGTGTTTACGACGTAGTTCTTACGGTAATTACCACAGTTGATTAGACGCGTAGGATGATGAGACGCTTTACATGATTTATATGTGCACCACATATAAATCATTAGTAGTAAGCCCCGATAATCAATCACTTTCGAATCTTCCAACTATTGGGCAAGCGTTTTCTGCTCTACTCTCTTCGGTCTCTCCGCTCCGTTCGCTCCGCTTTCCCGTCTTCCGATGCAACAGGTTATGAGCCCAAGCGCCATGTCGTCCACCAGCAACGCGCTCCATTGACAAGTTCAACGGAGACAATTACGCAACGTGGAGCCGGTACATGCGCGGTGTTTTTGACGAAGTCCGTCTGGCACGTCGTCAACCGTGAAGTGACTCCGACTTTCACCGACCCGCGAGCGTCCGATGACTACGTCAAGGCAAGCAACGTCGCGTTTGATATGATGCTGCTGCACATGAACGCGGACTACCATCATGTGCTGGACAACTGCGAGGAAGCCTGGGTTGCGTGGACAAGTCTGAAGACGCTGTACGGTGGATCGCAGAAGGCAGGACGCACCTTTCTCAAGCGGCAACTTTTCAGCACCAAGATGGATGATGGCGCGAACGTCATGCACCACTGCAACGAGGTCATCAACGTCTCCGCTAAGCTTAGCGGCATCGGTGCGAAGATGGAAGAAGAAGACGTTGCAATCTGTCTGCTGCTTAGTCTTTTAAAGAGCTAGAACCTTATAAAAAATAATTTGTGCTCAACATGGAAATGAGCAGCGCCGAGCTTCGTAACCAAGATGTGGTGAGAGTGCTGATGAGTGAGCACGCCGAGCGTCAAGGAGAAAAAAGGACAGCAACAGCGACTACGGTGAAGGCTGAAGATGCAAGCAAGGCATTCAGCGCCGAGCGTGAGCCCTACCAATGCACGTATTGTGACAAGGTGGGACACACAGCAGAGTATTGTTGGGTGAAGCAAAAAAGTGAAGGGTGAGGAGCCTAACGCGGCGGCAATGCCTGTGGACGCGAAGCAAACGATGTCCAGTGGGACATAATGATGAAGGCAATGGCTGCGATCGAGGTGGCGTCTGCAGTCTCGCTCGGATGTGAAGTTTCGACAAGCAAGGACGTGTCTGGAATGTGGACCGTCTACAGTGGTGCAACGCACCACATTTGCCACGACAAGACCAAGTTTGCAAGTTTGGTAGAGCGCAATGAGGGCGAACTATTGGTGGCTGATGGCAACAAGGTGGCCATCAAGGGTGTTGGAACCATCATGGAAAAGGTGGTTCTGCCCAACGGTGAAGAGCGCGAGATCGAGATCAAGAACGCGTTACATGTTCCAAGTATGAGCAAGAACCTGCATCGGTGCCAAAGACTAACAGGCATGACATGTTCCAAGTCGTGTTTGACTGGTCCAAGATGTATGTGACTCTCAAGAACTCACAGCAAGTGTTGGCGACAGAGGATCTCGTGGATGGACTTTACTAGCTTCGGACGACTGAGCGATCAGCAAATGTGACACAAGTGAACACATTGTGATGGTCTACATGCGCGAATGGGTCACCCCGCTCCTGTCGACGTACTTCGCAAGATGATCACGACCAACATGATCAAGGATGTGCGAGTCCCTCTCAACTTAGGTGGAGCAACTGCATGCCGCGGGTGTCAACAAGGTGAAAAAAGTCCAAAAACCATTCCCAAGCAACCGCGACAAGCGCAGCTATGATAGGTGTGAGCTGCTTCATCTGGACATCTGTGGGCCCATGGAAAACGATTCGCTCGGTGGTAGCAGATATCTGCTACTGATCGTAGACGAAGCCAGTGGAGTGGGTGCACGAAGGGCTTTTGTTTACGAGTGAAGTCCGAGAGTGAAGACTACGTCCGGAAGTACATCACTGTGGTTCAGACGCAGTTCAGTAAGAAGGTCAAGTTTGTGCGACACGACGGAGCTTGCGAGCTCGCAACCAACTCGCTTCAAATGTTCTACAAAGATGAAGGCATTGAACAGCAAACAACGGTGACATGTGCGCATCAAACCAACGGAACAGCAGAGTGTGCCATTTGGACTATCCTTACGATCGGCCACAGCATGCTTCATCATGCCCAACTAGACAATTGTTTCTGGGCTGAAGCAGCGATGACGGCCATCTACGTCAAGAATCGACTGCCGTCACCTAAAGTCGTGCACAAGACCCCGTTTGAAATCGTCTACAACTCGAAACCAAGCGTCAAGCACATGCGAACATTCGGGTGTCAGACATACATACTGACGCCTAAAGAGAATCGACTCAAGTGGGATCCAAAGGCTCACACTGGCATATTCGTGGGCTACGAAGAAGTTTCGAAGGCATATCGTGTTTATGACATCGAGGCGGGACAGGTGGTTATAAGTCGCGATGTCAACTTCGACGAGTCCACCTTTGGACTTCCGTCGCCGATCACTGATGAAGATGCCGATGACCTGGACTTCGAGTTGCTTGACCTCAATGATGAAGAGCCGCGTCAGGTGGAGTACAATCAAACAGGCAAGCGCAAAAACCGCCTCAGTGATGAAGATACAGCAGCTCCACGGCCACGTGCAGTGCGTCAACGACCTGGACTAGAAGAGTCAACCGCGCTAGAAAACAACTCGTCACGCCAAGAAGAAGACGAAGAAAGGAAGGATTCTGATGATTCAACTCCGCCTGTGTTTTGGCATGCGAGTGCGAATGCCGTTGAAACAGCAGTGGACTTATCAGAGCCCTACACATTTGAGGCAGCAGTGAGCGGCCCTGACCAAGTGCACTGGCAAATGCCATTCATGCGGAACTCGAGTCGGTGCGCCTTCGCGGTGTGTTTCGTGCAGCCAAGCTGCCCAACGGACAACGCGCCATTGGCACAAAGTGGGTGTTTAAGATCAAGCGCAAGGCGGATGGGTCGATCGAGAAGTACAAGGCACGGCTTGTGGCCAAGGGTTTCCGCCAAAAATATGGCATCGACTACACGGAGACATTTTCGTCCGTGGTCAAGTATGTGACGCTGCGAATGGAGATCGCAATTTCCAATAACTTTGGATGGCCCATCGACCAGCTTGATGTGATGGCGGCTTTCCTGTATGGCGTCATGAAGGAACAAGTGTTCTGCGTGATTCCTGAAGGCGTTGAACTTGATAGTACGTTCGATTGCCTGGAATTGATTAAGTCAATTGTACGGCCCCAAGCAAGCGTCGCGAGTGTGGAACGAGACGTTCGACGAGTTTGTGTGCTCCATTGGATTTCAAGTATCGGACTTCGACCCATGTCTCGAGATCAAGACTTCGGTCGGCCATTGTGTATTTGTACTGGTCTACGTGGACGACGTCTTGGTGACTGGAAGCTCGCTCGAGCTAATTACACGAACCAAGAACGACCTGAAGACACGTTTCGAGATGACGGACAGCGGCAAATGTGCATTTGTTCTTGGGATCGAGCTTTTGGACGGTGAAGATGGCAGTGTGAATATGTGTCAGCGCCGTTATGTATGAGGATGATATCCTCAAGCGCTTTGGCATGGAGGAGTGCAAGGCTGTGGCGAGTCCTGTGGATGTCAGCTCTCGACTGATGTCAAGCAACACTGCGAGCAAGATCGATGTTTAATTCCTCGAAGCCGTTCGTGCTTTGATGCATCTGACGACTGCAACACGACCGGACATCGCCTATGCTGTGAGCTTTGTGTCGCGCTTCATGAAGAATCTCCAAGAATAACACTGGGTTGCGGTCAAGCGCATCTTTCGCTACCTACAAGGCACTAAGATGCATGGAATTTGCTACAGCCACGTGCAAGGATCGACTTTTGTGGTTCTTCGGACGCAGACTGGGCCGGCGATCTCACTGATCGCTAGTCAACGGCTAGCTACGTTTTTATGCTATTGGGTGCTCCAGTGAGTTGGGGCAGCAAGAAGCATCCAAGTGTGTCACTGTCTACAAGTGAAGCGGAGTACATTGCGCTAAGTCTGGCGGTTCAAGAAGGCAAGTGGATCCACCGCTTACTATGCGAGATCATGGCGGCTGCTAACGAGGACGGACCCGAGTTCATGATCCGCGAAGACAACCAGTCCTGCATCAAAACGACCAAGAATCCGGTCAACCACTGCCGCGCTAAACACATTAATATCCAGTACCATCACATTCGCGATGAAGTCAAGCGCGGTGAAGTGAAGCTTGAATACTGCGAGACGACGGTGATGTTAACAGACAGTACTGTTGACGGTCATCGGTTTTCTACCAGTGTTGGTAACCGTGACCGGTCCAATCCGAACCGCCTGTTCAGCTTAGTGTTTACGACGTAGTTCTTACGGTAATTACCACAGTTGATTAGACGCGTAGGATGATGAGACGCTTCACATGATTTATATGTGCACCACATATAAATCATGTAGTAAGTAGTAAGCCCCGATAATCAATCACTTTCGAATCTTCCAACTATTGGGCAAGTGTTTTCTGCTCTACTCTCTTCGGTCTCTCCGCTCCGTTCGCTCCGCTTTCCTCGCTCCGATCTACAATGCAACAGGTTATGAGCCCAAGTGCCATGTCGTCCACCAGCAACGCCTCCATTGACAAGTTCAACGGAGACAATTACGCAACGTGGAGCCGGTACATGCGCGGTGTGTTTTTGACGAAGTCCGTCTGGCACGTCGTCAACCGTGAAGTGACTCCGACTTTCACCGACCCGCGAGCGTCCGATGACTACGTCAAGGCAAGCAACGTCGCGTTTGGTATGATGCTGCTGCACATAAATGCGGACTACCATCATGTGCTGGACAACTGCGAGGAAGCCTGGGTTGCGTGGACAAGTCTGAAGACGCTGTACGGTGGATCGCAGAAAGCAGGACGCACCTTTTCAAAGCGACAACTTTTCAGCACCAAGATGGATGAAGGCGCGAACGTCATGCATCACTGCAACGAGGTCCTCAACATCTCCGCCAAGCTTAGCGGCATCGGTGCGAAGATGGAAGAAGAAGACGTTGCAATCTGTCTGCTACTCAGTCTTCCGAAGAGCTACGAAAATGTGGTGCTCAACATGGAAATGAGCAGCGCCGAGCTTCGCACTCAAGATGTGGTGAGAGTCCTGACGAATGAGCATGCCAAGCGTCAAGGAGAAAAAGGGACAACCACAGCGACTACGGTGGAGGCTGAAGATGCAAGCAAGGCATTCAGCGCCGAGCGTGAGCCCTACCAATGCACGTATTGTGGCAAGGTGGGACACACGGTGGATCGTTGCTGGACAAAGCAGAAGAACGAAGGTCGAGGAGCCCGACGCGGTGGCAATGGTCGTGGACGCGAGGCTAACAATGTCCAGTGGGGACATCATGATGAAGGCAATGGCTACGATCGAGTGGCGTTTGCAGTCTCGTTCGAATGTGGAGTTTCGACGAGCAAGGACGTGTCTGGAATGTGGGCCGTCGACAGTGGTGCAACGCACCACATTTGCCACGACAAGACCAAGTTCGCAAGTTTGGCAGAGCGCAATGAGGGCGAACTCTTGGTGGCTGATGGCAACAAGGTGGCCATCAAGGGTGTGGGAACCATCATGGAAAAGTTGGTTCTGCCCAACGGTGAAGAGCGTGAGATCGAAATCAAGAACGCGCTATATGTTCCAAGTATGAGCAAGAACCTGCATCGGTGCCAAAGACTAACAGGCATGACATGTTCCAAGTCGTGTTTGACTGGTCCAAGATGTATGTGACTCTCAAGAACTCACAGCAAGTGGTGGCGACAGCGGATCTCGTGGATGGACTCTACTGGCTTCGGACGACTCAACGATCAGCGAATGTGACAACAAGCGGAACCAGTTGTGCCGATCTACATGCGAGAATGGGTCATGCTCCAGTCGATGTACTTCGCAAGATGATCGCGACCAACATGATCAAGGATGTGCGAGTCCCTCTCAAGTCGGGTGGAGCAACTACATGTCGAGGATGTCAACAAGGGAAAATGGTCCAAAAACCATTTCCAAGCAACCGAGACAAGCGCAGCTACGATAAGTTTGAGCTGCTTCATCTGGACATCTGCGGGCCCATGGAAAAGGATTCGCTCGGTGGCAGCAAATATTTGCTGCTGATCATCGACGAAGCCAGTGGATGCATGAAGGGCTTTTGTCTACGAGTGAAGTCCGAGAGTGAAGACTACATCCGGAAATATATCACCATGGTACAGACGCAATTCTGTAAGAAGGTCAAGTTCGTGCGACATTCGGGTATCAGACATACATACTGACGCCTAAAGAGAATCGACTCAAGTGGGATCCAAAGGCTCGCACTGGCATGTTCGTGGGCTACGAAGAAGTTTCGAAGGCGTATCGTGTTTATGACATCGAGGCGGGGCAGGTGGTTATCAGCCGCGATGTCAACTTCGACGAGTCCACCTTTGGACTTCAACTGCCGATCACTGATGAAGATGTCGATGACCTGGACTTCGAATTGCTGGATCTTGATGACGAAGAGCTGCGTCAAATGGAGTACAAGCAAACAGGCAAGCGCAAGAACCGACTCAATGATGAAGATACAGCAGCTCCACGACCGCGTGCAGTGCGTCAACGACCAGGACTAGAAGAGTCAAGCGCGCCGGAAAACAACTCGTCACGCCAAGAAGAAGACGAAGAAACGAAGGATTCTGGTGATTCAACACCGCCTGTGTTTTGGCTTGCGAGTGCAAATGCCGTTGAAACAGCAGCAAACTTATCAGAGCCCTCAACATTTGAAGCAGCAGTAGCGGCCCTTACCAAGTGCACTGGAGAAAAGCAATTCATGCAGAGCTCGAGTCAATGGGCCTTCGCGGTGTGTTTCGTGCAGCCAAGCTGCCCAACGGACAACGCGCCATTGGCACAAAATGGGTGTTCAAGATCAAGCGCAAGGCGGATAAGTCAATCGAGAAGTACAAGGCACGACTTGTGGCCAAGGGTTTTCGCCAAAAGTATGGCATCGACTACACGGAGACGTTTTCGCCTGTGGTCAAGTATGTGACGCTGCGACTGGTACGCATGTTCGCAATTTCAAGCATTTTGGATGGCACATCGACCAGCTTGATGTGATGGCGGCTTTCCTGTATGGCGTCATGAAGGAACAAGTGTTCTGCGTGATTCCTGAAGGCGTCGAACTTGACAGTACGTTCGACTGCCTGGAATTGGTGAAGTCAATTTACGGCCTCAAGCAAGCGTCGCGAGTGTGGAACGAGACGTTCGACGAGTATGTGTGCTCCATCGGATTTCAAGTATCGGACTTCTACCCATGTCTCTACATCAAGACTTCGGACGGCCATTGCGTGTTTATACTGGTCTACGTGGACGACGTCTTGGTGACTGGAAGCTCGCTCGAGCTGATTGCACAAACCAAGAACGACCTGAAGACGCGGTTCGAAATGACGGACAGCGGCAAGTGTGCGTTTGTTCTTGGGATCGAGCTTTTGGACGGTGAAGATGGCAGTGTGACACTATGTCAGCGCCGGTATGTCGATGATATCCTCAAGCGCTTTGGCATGGATGATTGCAAGGCAGTCGCAAGTCCAGTCGACATGAGCTCTCGACTTGTTTCAAGTGATGCAACTACCAAGGTCGATGCTCCTTTTCGCGAAGCTGTTGGTGCGTTGATGCACCTGACCACTGCAACGCGTCCGGACATTGCGTTTGCTGTGGGCTATGTGTCGCGGTTCATGGAAAATCCCCAAGAAGAACACTGGGTTGCAGTTAAGCGTATCTTTCGCTACCTACAAGGCACCAAGACGCATGGAATTTGCTACAAGCCAAGTGCAAGGATCGACTTCCGTGGATATTCGGATGCGGATTGGGCTGGTGATCTTACCAACCGCAAGTCAACATCGGGGTACACGTTCATGCTACTCGGTGCGCCAGTGAGTTGGGGCAGCAAAAAGCAGCCAAGTGTTTCTTTGTCCACGACTGAAGCTGAATACATCGCACTCAGCTTGGCGATTCAAGAGGGCAAGTGGATTCATCGTCTGCTTTGTGAGATCGTGATGGCTGCCAGTGAAGAAGGACCGGAACTCATGATTCATGAAGACAATCAGTCATGTATCAAGATGACGAAGAACCCGGTCAACCACGGCCGTGCCAAGCACATTGATATCAAGTACCATCACATCCGTGATGAGGTCAAGCGCGGTGAAGTGAAGCTCAAGTACTGTGAAACTGCGGTGATGTTAGCGGACATCATGACGAACGGACTTCATGGACCACGCCAACAGGAGATGACGACGGCTCTCGGGATTCGTGAGCATTCGGATTGAGGGGGCGTGTTGACGGTCATCGGTTTTCTACCAGTGTTGGTAACCGTGACCGGTCCAATCCGAACCGCCTGTTCAGCTTAGTATTTACGACGTAGTTCTTACGGTAATTACCACAGTTGATTAGACGCGTAGGATGATGAGACGATTCACATGATTTATATGTGCAGCACATCTAAATCATGTAGTAAGCCCCGATAATATTGTGGGTTGACGGTTGAGGTACTGCTATCAGCTACCATGGGAACCGTAAACCTGTCCAAGTCGATCCCGCGTAATTACGGTGAGTTTTTACCAATGATTAGACGCATAGGATGATTGGATGACCTACATGATTTATGATTCATGATTTATATGTGGACAACATATAAATCAGTGCAGAGATAAATCAGGTAGCTTGAACAAAACCCACAAATAAATTCACTTCCAAATATTCCTTCTTCAGCACAAGTCGTCTACACTTCGCAGTGCAGATTTCTTCAGCGTTCTTCAAGCTTCGTTCTCTCGTCCAGTGCTCTTCAGACTTTAACAGATAATCAATCGCTTTCGAATCTTTCAACTAGTGAGGAAGTGGCTTCTGCTCTACTCTCTTCTGCCTCTCCGCTCACTTCGCTCCGCTCTCTTCCATGCAACAGATTATGAGCCCAAGCGCCATGTCGTCCACCACCAACGCATCATCCAACGTCTCCATTGATAAGTTCAATGGAGACAATCATGCGACTTGGAGTCGGTACATGCGTGGTGTTTTTTGACGAAGTCCGTGTGGTGCGTCGCAAACCGTGAAGCGACTCCGACTTTCACCGACCCGCGAGCGTCCGATGACTACATTAAGACGAGCAACGTCTCGTTTGGGATGATGCTGCTGCACATAAATGCGGACTACCACCGTGTGCTTGACAGCTGCGAGGAAGCGTGGGCTGCGTGGACACGTCTGAAGATGCTGTACGGTGGATCGCAGAAGGCAGGACGCACCTTTCTCAAGCGACAACTTTTCAGCACCAAGATGGATGAAGGCGCGAACGTCATGCATCACTGCAACGAGGTCCTCAACGTC